CTCTGGCTTACTATCTCCTAATGCCAAACAGACTTCACCTACCTGGCATGTGAGAGGAAATAGCTATCAAAAAGCTAATGCTCAATGTTTGGAATTCCAACATCATCCTTGGAAAAGCTGCCTATTATTCTACTGAGTTTTGCACAACAAACCCATTCAAAATGCTACTGGGAGATTTCAGAGAAAGTCCCCATTATCATCATGGTCATCATTATCATCTCGTTGCTATTGTTGGAGGGATGGTATATTTGTACATCAAATCAGTATTTCATGGTATCAACTGATACCTTTGTTATTAGCCATCAGCAGATCTCAATTCCTTCTATTCTATCAGTTTAATCATTTAAATCATTGAGGCCTCCCAAAAGAAGAACATGTTCAGTAAGTTTTCCATTTTTTAATGCAAGAAAAAAAATTTTTTCTTTTGTTTTTTAGTGCAGGAAAAAGTGTATTTATTAACAGTTCCAGTTGACTCCAATCTTTTCCTCAGAGCTGCCATTCTCACACTGATGTGTTCCTCAAGCCAGCAAGCAAGCAAGCAAGAAGCATCCTGTACTTACGGGGAGCCCACATCATGCTTCGGGCTTGGAGTTTGGGATGTGACAAAAATGGTCTCTGAGAAGCTGAGATTTTTTTTTTTTATTGAGGTAAAATTGGTATATAACGTATAAGTTTCAGGTATACAACAGAACAATTCAATATTTGTGTACACTGTAAAGTGGTCAGTACAATACGTGTAGTTACCATCTGTCACCATGCAAAAAAGCTTAGGTTTTAATGAATGGGACAGGTGGTTAGGATGGAGCAAAACAGGCCAGGTGTAGAGGCACACTGACCTCAAGCTTCCATGCAGGGTATATTTACACTTTGTACACAGTCCCTATCTGTGCTTTACGTGAAAATAAAATGACTTATGACTTATGTGAAAATAACACCCAAAAGTCTCTGTCAAACTTCCCTGAAGTGGTGGAGTTCAGAGGTCCTTGGAAAGGATATTCAAGCCCAGTGGAAGTGGAGGGAGAGCAATACAGGTGATAGTCCACAGCAGCAGCTATGAGCAAGTAGTCCCCAGAGTTCCAGGGCAGTATGGAAACAGACTGTAGCTACTTATCTTGTCTAATGTTAGAAGTATTACCATAAAGATCCTAAATTATACAAAAAAAAAAAAACTAGGAAAGATGAACATTTAATTTAGCAGAAGGGCTATCTCTGGGGAACAGAGAGGAATACAAGAGAGAAGGGCACAGGGGAAGGCTAGGGGATCAAGCTTCAGAGTTCTTGGTAATTAGTGGTGGGTACATGAGAGTTCACTGCTCTATAAACTGATATGTCTGAAATATTTCAAAATATGTTTTCTAAGTGAGAGAGCAAGCCCATGAGTAGAACTCTAGAATACTACTACTCCCACCTCACCCCTTACCTACCAATGCCTCCAAGGCAGGAGGTGGCTGTGGAGATGGAGGAAGGTGCAAGGTCTGTGCTCTCAGAAATGGAGATGGAGATCTCTCCTGAGGGAGGTCCAGGGCAGCTGTATTCCAGGCAGGTCAGCCCTGCACCTGACCCTCACTCACCACTTCTTCCACCAGCATTCACATGGCAAGTCCCCCCCCCCTTTTAAGATTTTATTTGTGAGCATAAGCAGAGGGAGAGAGAGGCAGGCAGAGGGAGAGTGAGAAAGAAGCAGCCTCCCCACTGAAGAAGGAGCCTGACTCAGGGCTCAATTTCAGGACCTTAGGATCATGACTTGAGCCAAAGGCAGGCACTTAACTGACTGAGCCACCCAGGCATCCCTAGTTTTTCCATTTGATTCTGTTAAACTATCAAATTTTAGCAGGGAGACTCATTTGGGCTAACATGCATCTTATTTGTTTGCTTATAAAAAAGTAAATATCTGTAGGAGGGATATGAAGTCAATTGGTGTAAGATACAAATTATTTCAGAAATTGGTTCTGTGAACAAACACCTAGCCAAAGGCTACCCAAGTTAGATTTCAGGTGGGGTGCTTAAGAAAAGGAGGTCAACCATTTGCTTCAACATGGATGGAACTGGAGGGTATTGTGCTGACTGAAATTAGTCAATCGCAGAAGGACAAACATTATATGGTCTCATTCATTTGGGGAATATAAAACATAGTGAAAGGGAATAAAGGGGAAAGGAGATAAAATGAGTGAAAATATCAGTGAGGATGACAGAACATGAGAGACTCCTAACTCTGGGAAACGAACAAGGGGTAGTGGAAAGGGAGGTGGGCGGGGGGTTGGGGTGACTGGGTGACAGGCACTGAGGGGGACACTTGATGGGATGAGCACTGGGTGATATATGTTGGCAAACTGAACTCCAATAAGAAAAAGAAAAAGAAAGAAAAGGAGGTCAGATGTTTTAGGGTCTGGAGTATTAGGTGCAGGTGACTTTATGCCCAAGTGGGTTCCACTTTCCATATAAGTGCTTTGAAAAGGTGGAGGGTGCTGGGGCCCTGGGGAAAGGGGTGTTGGAATGGGAAGACAGATCAAAGGAGAAAGGTGCTCTCTGCTCTTGAGGGGTAGGTGGGCAGTACCTCTCCCCCTAGGCTAAGTAGGTAGATGCAGGCCAGCCAGGGACCTTAACCACCATCTAGGGACTGTACCTTCCTGGAACTGCACAGGCAGTGTGACCTTCAGAGGAAGAGCATTTATTGCTGGGTTGAGGATGGTCTCTATTCCATTTTGAGATATTTTTTGGCTCCCAGATGGTTTTGACAAATTCTCTGTATTTTTCAAATACTTAAATATCTATTCAGCTGACATCTTAATCAGTATGACTGTCAGTCATACAGAAATTCACTTGAATTTCTGACAGGTGACGCCCAAAAAAGCAAAAGCAGTTTTTTTTTTTTTTTTTTTTTTGTAGGTAACCTGCTCGGCTTCTGCTGGGCTACATTGTAATTTCTCCTTGTATTAACTTCTGATCAAATTCCTGAGTCATAAGCATGGATGAGAAGGGAACTCAGCACAGAGCCTAAGTTCCTTATTCTAAATGAGGAATTCATGCCATTGTGAGTAGTGATGTGCTGAGGACTGTGCCACAGAAACATGCCAGGCAGAAACATGCCAGGTTTGTTCCTGGCTGAAGGGATGAGCCTGGGCCTTTACTAAAATGGTCAGACTGATCTCACACATCTTGGCCCTGAGGACCGGGCCCCCATGTGTCTTCCTCTGGCTGTGCTTTTCCCTGTGGACTGAGGAGTCTGGGCCAAGGGCACTTTTGACACTCCAGGCACCCCAGGCCAGAGGGCATTTGTCTGTGGAGTTTGAATTGAATGTGGGGAGGGTGGATGGCATGACCACCTAGGAGTGTGTGAGTCACATGTGGGGCCAGGATTGGGCAGAGAAGGGGGCAAGCTGTATCTTGGGCTGGAAGCCGGTTCCCCTGTGCCACCCCATTCTAACCACTGCTCCAAAAGGTCCTAGGATTTCTAAATTTATACCTGGCCTTTTAGGTTGTGAGGAAGTTATGTCAAAATAAAAAAAAAAAATCTTTTAACAGTTTTTAGCTTGATAACTTTAAAACATCTAGACATAAGATATGTAGCCCTTGTTTTCTTGTTCCAGGTTCCTTAAAAGTTGAGGGAAGATTGTCACTTGGAAGCTTGAGTAACAGGATTGGAGAAGAGGAAATTGGAAATAGCAGGCATTCCTGGATGTTGGATTTGGGCAATTTGCATCGCCTGCTGTGGTGGCTGAATTGTCAGACCTTTTAGGTAGAAAGTGTCCCCAAAGCCACCACTGATTTTATATCCTGATCAGGCTATGAGCACTGCAGTCACAGCTCCTAGGAATCATTTCTTGGCAAAGACTGCCTGTATTCCCAAATCAGAACTGGCTATTTGTCATGGCTGCAGAATAGATTAGGAATGGGCCAGGCTGAAGTCATGTCCTAGCAACTCAGGGCCAGACTAGGTGGCCTGTGGCCTTCCCTGTTGGGTGTGGAGTCCTCAGTCCTTCTTGTCTTTCTCTCCTTCTTACCCACAACAGGCAAAGTCAGTAAGGTATACCAGGGTGAGGTGGTAGGCTCAGCTTCCTTTCTGTCTTTCACATTAGCCGCCTGCTTCAAATCCCACCCACACCTGCATTTTAGCTAAAGGCCATTTCTCAAGTAAACATTTCTCATTTGAGATAAGAGTAGAGAACTTGTGCCCCAGCCTCTCAGCCCTCTGGCTGCTCTCTGTCCCTTCCAGCTCTCTCTCGGGTCTTGTGTCTACCTGCTGAGCATAAATTCTATTCTGATGTTCCTATAAAAGTTTCCTGCCATCCTATCTCATTTTTCTGTGTCTGAGATCCTGAGTTTGACTGACTCACAGATGAAGGAGAAACTACAGAGCCTCCTGTATATATGAACACATTTCTGCTTTGGAGTCTCATTGAGAAAAAGCTATATCAGCCCAAGTCACAAATAGGAATGTCATTTCCCTGTGCAGGACGTGACTTCAGAGGCCCCTACCCACCCTCTTCCCTGAATATCCCTTGTCCTCAGCCCTTTGATGCCCAGGAAAGAGTTCTGCTGCCATATTCTCCCTCTGCTTGTGATCCTGGTGATGAGCTAAAACAGAAAGTTCCCCGGGGGGAGGGTGGGGGAAGTCCCATTTGCTCCCACCCCCCATGACTGAAGTGACTGCCCATCACTCACGGAGGCATCCTGGGGCGCAGCCCTGTTCCGGAACCCTCTCTCCTCTGAGGCCTCAGCCATGAGGCCCAGCAGTGTCTGTGCCGCTTTGCTGCAGCTTCCTTTCCACCTTAGCTGCTACCAGACAGCACCAGTGTTTGGTCTCTCTCAGGGCTGGGCAATCAATCTCTGGCCCTAGTTCACCGTGCCTCTCTCCCAGCATTCTCAGGCAAGCCCTCCTACAAACACAGGCTGTGTTCTGCCCACTGCTGAGATAGTACACATGCTCTGGGCAAAGGTACATCAGATAATGGCATCTGTAGCCAAACCCCAGTCCCGCTGCTGGTAACGTCTGGGGAGGGACTGCAGGGCCCGGTGAAGAGTAGGCAGGGCAGTGTGCTGCTGGCTCTACTGAGGCTCCTCAAGGGAGAGTCAGGGCGCCCAAAAATTCACCTGTCTCTGCTGTCTCTTGGCCATGAGTGAATTCCCATCTTTGGCCCCTGTGGAGTCCTCGTGGATCCAAGTAAGCAGAGGCCCCCAGAGTTCCCCAGAGGATGTTCCTGCAGCTGTTTCAAAGCCTCGACACAGCCTGGGCATTCTCCATGTCTCCTACAGTGTCAGGTAAGGCCGTGCCTCTTTTGTCTACTGGGAGCTTGAAGCTGGGCTTTGAGTTGTGGTCATGGTTCTTGGTGAGTGAGCCTCTGCTGGCTTTCCTCACTAATGAGGGCCATGTGTGTAGGCTTTGGGCTACAAAGCCATTTGCAATGGCAAATGGCCCCCCTTTTGCCCATGAAGACCTGGAAACCGACAGTGAGGCAGCTGTGATCTGCTTTGTGCCCCAACTTTGTGCCCCCTTAATCCCTTCCTGGTGTGTTGTGTCGTTCCTGCCCCCTGAAGCCTATTCCATGGAGATGGAGAGGGCTGTCCCCCTGAAGCCTGTGCCATGGAGATGGAGAGGGCTTGGGTTGGGGAGTGCCTACAACACAAAGTGTAATGAAGCCTGGTGAAGGAACGCAGGGTCAACAGGAGGAATAAATAGCTTCCTGCTTATTTTATTTCCTACACGGCCAAAGAGCCGGCATTCAGAGCAGCTCTTGGGCAGGGGTTTTACATAGATGACCTTTCTTGGTCACTACCTGCCTGTGTCTACAGAGAAGGATACTGAGCTCCAGGCATATTTAGGAACCTGTCCAGAGACAGCTGGAATTAGTGCTGGGGGGCAAGGGTCTGGCCCCTTCTTGAACCCCATACTCCCTTTCTTTTAAAGCCACCGAGTTGGGCCCTGGTGGGACTTCACATCTTGCCGGCAGCAGTGGGACAGGCAGATCCTCAAAGATGTCTCCTTGTATGTCGAGAGTGGGCAGATCATGTGCATCTTAGGGAGCTCAGGTAAGCTTGGGAAGGAGTACTTTAAATTTACATTCTCAGCATTCAGAAAAGGCTTTAGCTTGGTTTGAACATTGAGGAAATAGGTTTAAGTTGGAAGAAGGCTACAAGTTTGATACTAGAATGAAATCTGGTACTAATGTAAAGTCTTAAGAGAGAGCCTTGGAAAAGAATAAAGTCCTGCCTAACATGTCAGTAATTCCTATTTCAGTGTGTGGAAAGTACCTAGCACAGTGCCCGGCTTGTAGGGGTGCTCAGTAAACACAGTTTCCCTGATCTGTATCCTGCCAACAGGCAGGAAAAGGAATTAAGCACAAAGATGCATGCCCATTTAGTCCTATATTCATTTTTTAAAAATTATGATCTATTTCAAATATATAGGCAAAAATAAGCAAATAATATAAAGAATCTTTATATTTTTAAAAGAATTTATTTGAGAGAGAGAGCATGAGCAGGGGGAGGGGCAGAAGGAGAAACAGGCTCTCTGCTGAACAGGGAGTCAGATGTGGGACTCAATCTCAGGACCCTGAGATCATGACCTGAGCCGAACGCAGATGCTTAACCAACTGAGCCACCCAGGCACTCCAAGAATGTTTATGTATTAATATCTGGTTTTATCAAATCCTTAAATTTTTTTTAAAACTTAAATTTCACTTAGGGGGCATCTGGGTGGCTCAGTGGTTGAGCATCTGCCTTTGGCTCAGGGCCTGATCCTGGGATCCAGGATCGAGTCGCATGTCAGGCTCCCTGCATGGAGCCTGCTTCTCCCTCTACCTGTGTCTCTGCCTCTCTCTCTGTGCCTCTCATAAATAAATAAAATCTTTAAAAAAATACATAAATTCCACTTAGTTAATATACACTGTAAGGCTTTATCAAATCTTAACATTATGCCACATTTGCTTTAGATCTTTTTTTTTTAATTTTTATTTATTTATGATAGTCACAGAGAGAGAGAGAGAGGCAGAGACACAGGCAGAGGGAGAAGCAGGCTCCATGCACCAGGAGCCCGATGTGGGACTCGATCCCGGGTCTCCAGGATGGCGCCCTGGGCCAAATGCAGGCGCCAAACCGCTACGCCACCCAGGGATCCCCAAGATCTTTTTGTTTTTAAGAATTAAAATTACAGATTGCACTGAGGCCATCTGTGTGCCCATTTCCCACCTTCTCTTCTTTCCTGGGATATCTACACTTGTGGCTGAATTCACAGTTTGTGTACCTGCATCAGCCAGTCATTGTTCTGGGAAGGTGTAGCCTCCTGAGCGGTAGCCCCTTGTGTCTTGAGGGTCATGCCCCATGGGGAATCAGCTGTGAGTCCTCAGTGGCTGGAGGATGGGTGCATTGACTCTGACAAGGGCAAGGGGATCTATGTGAACACCACAGGGTTGACTACACTAGGTTATCCTGCACACTTTAAGGGTGAAAGATTCTGACAAATTTGCCTTACAGGAGCTTCCTGATTGAGTTCTTGTGCACTGACATTGTTGACATTTACTAGCACTACACACTTGCATTATTCTCTTTAATAGAAATGGGTAACGCAAGTCTGTGATAAAGGTCAAGCATGATCAGCCTCATTTGACCTGGGGAGTTAAATCCATAGCCATTCCCCTTCTACAGCAGGTGAACAGCTGATTGACAATAGCATTAAGATTAAATGAGAAGGGGATCCCTGGGTGGCGCAGCGGTTTGGCGCCTGCCTTTGGCCCAGGGTGTGATCCTGGAGACCCGGGATCGAATCCCACATTGGGCTCCCGGTGCATGGAGCCTGCTTCTCCCTCTGCCTATGTCTCTGCCTCTCTCTCTCTCTCTCTCTGTGACTATCATAAATTTAAAAAAAAAGATTAAATGAGAAGCAAAAAAAGATTAAATGACTAAAATTATTATACTTTGCTGAGACTTCCTGTCTGTTCCTATTTCCAAATTTTTAACCATTTCTTTTTTTTTAAAGACTTTTATTTGAGAGAGGCAGGGGGTGGTGGTAGGGAGAGGGGTAGAAGGAGAGGGAGAATCTCAAGCAGACTCCCTGCTGAGTGCAGAGTCCAGCATGGGGCTCAACCTCACAACCTTAAAATCATGACCTGAGCCTAAACCATAAGTCAGCCACTTACCTGACTGAGCCACCCAGGTACCCCAAAACATTTCTAACTATATGAAAGTACCATAATGTCCAGGGTTATTCTAATTTTCCCATTGATGATTGTAATATTCTTTAAGAAGAAGAAAAGCTGAGTTATTCCCATAATTTGTTGTTACTTGCCTTCTATAGGATTAGGGTGGTATGTTGCATGCAACAAAGAATGAACTCATTTTCTCAGAAGGGTGTCCCACAAGCCAGTGTCATGCTTCATGCATATCTCAGCAGGACAGTGGGTGGGAGGTGGGAGGTCTTGATCTGGGAGCTCATGGGCTGGTTTCTGATGATACCTCATCATGGTTTTATGACAACAGCTATCTTTTTATACTGACCATGAGTTCACAGTAGACTCCAAGTTCTCTGGGTGATGGGAGTTTTCTCTTTGTTTTTTTCCCTGCAGTATTCTCAACAGCTAGAACAGGGCTGGCTACAGTAGGTACTTAGTAAATATTTGTTGAATTAGTGAGAAACAAATCAATTCTCTGAATTACTGCTAGTGTTTCACAAAATGTTTTTTTTTAAGATTTTATTTATTCATGAAAGACAAAGAAAGAGAGAGGGAGAGATATAGGCAGAAGGCAAAGCAGGCTCCATGCAGGAAGCCTGATGTGGGACTCGATCCTGGGAGTCCGGGATCACCCCCTAAGCCAAAGGCAGATAGATGCTCAACCACTGAGCCGCCCAGGCGCCCCCAAAATGATGATTTCATTGCTGTCTTACCTAACACAGCACTGTGAATCAAATCTTTATCAGTGAGGCAAAAGAAGACTGATGTGTTTAAAGTCTCATGATAGAATGGTGTAATGCAAGCCTGCCTAGGGTCACCCAGCACTACAAGGGAGGGTAACTATATTTGACTCAAAATTTGCTATCAGTTGGGACCTAGACTCTGGGTTGCTTCCTCCCTCACAGAAGACTATTTAGTTATAATTTCTGTCCTTTTAGGGAAGATAATCCCAAAGGTCAGAGTTTTATTGTCTGTAGGACACTAATACCTTTTGTTTTCTTTTTTCTTTTTTTATTGTGGTAAAATATGCAAAACTTACCATCATAACTGTTTTTAAGTGTACAGTGGTAATAAATACATTGACATTGTTGTGCAACCCTTCTACCATCCATGCCCATAGGTCTTTATTTTGTAAAACTGAAACTCTACACTCATTAAGCAATAACTCCCCATTCCCCTTGCTCCCAGCCCCACCACTATACTTTCTGTCTCTATGATTTTGACTAACTACCTGACGTAGGTGGAATCATACTATATTTGTATTTGTCTTTTTGTGGGTGGCTTATTTCACTTATAATGTCCTCAAGATTGTTGAATGTATCAGAATTTCCTTCTCTTTTAAACTGAATGATATATTCTATTGAGATGTGTGTGTGTATATATATGTATATGTATATATACATATATATACATACACACACACACACACTGTGTTGGCTTATCTATTCACCCATTAATGGATACCTGAGTTGCTTCCACATTTTAGCTACTGTGAATAATGAAATGAAGGTAAGTGGACAAATGTCTGTTTACAACCTTGTTTTCAGTTCTTTAGGGTATATACCAAGAAGTGGAATTGCTGGGTCATATGGTAACTGTATTCTTAAGTTTTTGAGGAACCACTATACTGTTTTTCACAGTATTTTTGTATTCGCACCAACAGTGCACAAAGATTTCACATTTTGTATTCCCACCAACAGTGCACAAAGATTTCAATTTCTCTACATCCTCACCAACACTTACTTTCTAATTTTTTCATAGTTGCCATCCTAAAGGGTGCAAGGTGTTATCTCATTGCAGTTTTAATTCGTAGTTCCCTAATGTTTAGTGATGGTGATTTATGCTTAGTAATTTCACGTGATTTTTGGCTATTCATACATCTTCTTTGGAGAAATGTCTATTTAAGTCCTTCACCCAGTCTTAAATTGGATTAATTTTTTGTTGTTGAATTTTAGAAACTTTCTATATATTTTGGATATTAATCTGTTATCAGATATGTGATTGGCAAGTATTTCCGCATTCTGTGGGTTGCCTTTTTTTGCAGTGAGGATAACGTCCTTTTTTTTTTTTAACTTTATTTAAAAAAAATCTTTTTCAAGGACTAACTAAATAAATAACGTTTATTTAAGTGATCTCTATACACATTGTGGGGCTCAAACTCATGACCTTGAGATCAAGAGTCACGTGTTCCTCCACTTAAGCATTCCAGACATCGCTGGGGATAGTGTCTTTTGTACAAAAATTTAAAACTGTCATGAAGCCCAATTTATCTATTTTTTCTTTTGTTACCTGTACCTTTGGTGTCATATTTTAGGCCATTAACCATTTCTGTGTCTAATTTTGCATACTCTCACCGTTTATTTTCCACTGATTATACGTATCAGTTTTTTTTAATACTTTTTTCCTCTTGTATTCTTTTTTCAAATAAACTTTTTCATCCTGCTACTCCTTAATAAGTTAATAGTTGAGATAGCTTATAAAAAGAGACTATATTAGCCATCCATTTCTTTTTCTTTTTTTAAGATTTTATTTATTTTAGAGAGTGTGTGCATGAGGGTGGTGAGCAGAGGAAGAGGGACAAGCAGACTGCACTGAGTGCAAGCCCGATGTAGAGCTTGATCTCATGGTTGTAAAACTGAAACTTTACACTCATTAAGCAATAATGAGCTGAAATCAAGAGTTGGACATTTGATGGGCTGAGCCACCCAGGTGCCCCAGCCATTCATTTCTATGTAAAATGTATCCCAGAACTAAGATGCTTAAAATAATGAAAATCATTATCTCCCAGGATTTCTATGAGTCAGAAATTTGCAAGTGACTTTGTTGGGTGGTTCTGTCTAGGGTACCTTATGAGTTTGTAGTCAGAAGTCTGCTGGGCTGCAGTCATCTGAGGGCTTGAGCAGGGCTGGAGAATCTGCTTCTAAGGTGTCTCCCTTGCATACTGGCTAGCAAGTTGGTGCTTGCTGTTGAGCTGTGAGAATGTGTTACATGAGAAGAGCAAAGGCCCAAGAGAGAACCCTAAGTGTCGTCCACAGGGAGCTGGGAAGGAGCAGCCAGACCAGTAGGATAAAACCAAGAGGATGAGGTAACATCAAAGCCAAGGGAGAGAGATTTACATAGAAAGGCAAAGAATAGTATAAATGCTGCTGAGAAGTCAGCATCCAGGAAGATGCCCACCAGATATGGCAATAAGGAAACAACCATGATAACTTCAGGGAAGTCAGTTTTGATGTGATGGGACTCGGATCCAGGCACCAGGCTATTTGGAGCTTTTGTCAGAGTGGAGATTGGATCCCAGAAACGGAAAGGCAAGGAAGCTTCTAGTTAGAAGAAACACATACAAGGCCTAGGATCATACAAGGAAATTTCAGAGCATGTTTTGAAAGACAACTCAAATGATGATGTCACATTTTGTTTCTTCACAATCCCTCTCCTCTCTTCCACCCTGACCTCTACTGAAGACACTGGGGAGCTAACTCTGAGCTGGGTCAGCCATGGATTAGATAAGACCACTGTTATAGGAGCTTGGCTTACTCATCTTTGTACCCCTCACAGGGTACAAAGAAAGCAGTTTGTTTGTTCATTAGTTCATTTGTTCATTTGTTCATTCCTTCCTTCTTTAGGATTTTATTTATCTGTTTGGCCGAGATCTCATGCACAAGAAGGGGGAATGGCAGGGAGAGGGAGAAGCAGACTTCCCACTGAGTGGGGAGCCCAATGAGGGGCTCTGTCCCAGGACCCTGGGGTCATGACTGAGCCAAAGGCAGACACTTAACCAGCTGGGCTACCCGATGCCCCAACAAGCAGTTTCCTTACAATATTTGAACAACAAAAAAAATCTCTTTGGTTTTGCAGAAGTTGTCATATCCTTGGTAGAATTCTCTTGCTATCTATTCAGACAGTTCAGAACCTCCTGCCTATTTCTCTGTTAATCTAACTTCTTAGCACCTGGCAATGCCAGTTCCTTGTCTCTATTGACTCTCTGGGCTCATGTAGGTTTGTGTCCACTATGAACAGAAGGGTATAGCTGGTGTCTTATCCTAATAGTATCACCTAACTTCTAACCCAAGAAAAACCAAACCAGGGGAAAGCTCTTAGCAACAAGCAGCTGGATCATGCCCAAGGCTCTCAGTGCAGGCTGAGGCCAACTTGATTTTACTAAAGGACTTGCTAAGCTAGTGCTTCTCAGCCTCTGATATGCGTGGGAATTACCTAGGGATCTTGGTAGCAAAATGTGATTCAAGGGGCTGGGGCCTGAGATTCTGCATTTCTAACAAGTGCTCAGGTGACGGTGTTCTTCTTCAGACCACACTTGGTTATCAAGGCTCTAGGTAATGTCCTCTACTTTCAGGAACCACCAGATGATCCTGGGTGGGGAGTTTCAAAAGGATTCAGATGTCCTAGATCCAAATGTTTCCAAGAGCCTAGGTTTTCTTTTTATTCTGATCCTTAATTTTCTTTTTCAACTCAAAACAGCTTTAAAAGCTAATAAACAAGGATGCCTGGGTGGCTCAGCAGTTGAGTATCTGCCTTCGGCTCAGGGCATGATCCCAGAGTCCTGGGATTAAGTCCCGAAGCAGACTCCCCACGGGAAGTCCCACGGGGAGCCTGCTTCTCCCTCTGCCTATGTCTCTGCCTCTCTCTGTGTTTCTCAGGAATAAATTAAAAAAACAAAAACAAAAACAAAAAAAAAACTAATAAACAGGCAGACAAACTCCTCCAGCCCTGACTGCGATAAAGGAAATGGCTTGTCCCTCTCTGACTCAGGAGACAAGCCGGAAAGACTCAGTGGTACAATGAGAATTTGAGACAGGGGGCTACAGATAGAGCAAGTCAGTGCTAGACCAAGGGTACACTGAGGGTCTGGGGATAGCCCAGCAATGCTTCGTGGGTGGAGTCCTCTTGGGCCTTGTTTTCTTGTCTCCCAGGCTCAGGGAAAACCACACTGCTGGACGCCATGTCCGGGAGGCTGCGGCGCAAGGGGACCTTCCTCGGAGAGGTGTTTGTGAATGGCCGGCTGCTACGCAGGGAGCAGTTCCAGGACTGCTTTTCCTATGTCCAGCAGGTGGGTGTGTCCAGGGCCCCCACCCCAGCCACTGCAGCCCAGTCTTGGCCTTGACCACGCTGACGCCTTCCTCTCCCACAGAGCGACACACTGCTGAGCAACCTGACTGTGCATGAGACGCTGCACTATGCAGCGCTGCTGGCTGTACGCCACCGCTCTGCGGGCTTCTACCGGAAGAAGGTGGGTAGTACCTGGCCTCCTGCAGCCCTGTTCCCTTGGGGATCACTCCGTGGTGGCTTCGCACCTCCTCTTCCCTCCACTTGCCCGTTCCTCCCCTTCACTCTTCACCTCTTTAGTCTAGACCTGTACTGTCCAGTATGGCAGCGATTGGTCACTTTGGCTTTAAGCACTTGATGGGTGGCCAGGCCTAACTGAGATGTGCTATGAATGGGAAATACAGAATTTTAGAAACTTTAGTCTGAAAAACAATGTGAAATTGTTTCACATTGTTTCAACAATTTTTAAAATATTTTTGATAGGTTAAAATAGTAGTATTTAGGCTGTATTGGGTTAAATATATAAAGTTAATTCCACTTGTTTCTTTCTAAAATGTTTGGATTCTATGTGGGGCTTATATTTCTGTTGGATGGTACTGTTTTAGGAGCTCTGTTTTTGAATAAAAATGGTTATTTTCCTCACCATACTTTGCCCTATAGCCCTGTTGAGATTTTTCTCAACTTTCTTTGAGGCATTCTGAATGTGCCTCATCCAAACTAGATTAAGTTAATGAAGGAAGAAACAATTGACTTGTCTACTCTTTCCAGGTTTCAATCTGTTCCTTTAAATGTATCCAGTTTGGAAGTATTCATAGGTAAACCCAGAGGGATCTGCAGTTCAGGCTCCAGGGCTGGTCTTCTCTAATGCCATTGAGGCTCCAAGGAAATCTTCCATATCAGCTGAGGTTGTACCATGTTATCAGGCATTGTTGGGTCTGTCACCAGGGACTTAGTCAATTTGTCCTTGGCATTGGACTTTCAGACAGGGCTTGGAGAGTGATATTAGGTCTAAGCTGTGTCCCAAATACCAGGAGACTTGATTGATATAATGCCCAGATGAATAAAGGGCATTCTTCTGTTTGAAAGTCCTAGACAGTGCTGGAGGATAGCTTTTTTACTCCAGAGGAGTCTTAGCAAGGAGCCTGATCCTCAGGAAGGAGCTTCAGCTTCACAGTGATACCTAGCTCTGTTTCCTGCCCAGAGGTTAGCTTAGAGGGTTCAGAAGGTATTGCAAGGTACACAGGCATACCTTGGAGATACTGTAGGTTTAGTTCCAGACCACCGCAATAAAGCAAATATCAAAATAATTAGAGTCAAATGAATTTTTTGGTTTCCCAGTGCATATAAAAGTTATGTTAACAGTAATACTCTAGTGTGTTAGGTGTACAGTAGCATTATGTCTAAAAAAACCAATATACTTAGTTTTAAGATATTTTATTGACATACAAAGTAAGCAAGTGCTGTTGGAAAATGGTTTGAGTAGACTTTCTTGATACAAGGTTGCCACAAACCATCAATGTGTAGAAAATGCAATACCTATGAAGTGCGATAAAGTGAAGTGCAATGGAAGAAGGTGTGCCTGGACTCTGAACTCATAGTTGGCTGACATTAGTCAGACTCTGTCACACAGTATTTCATTGCATCCTGGCATCAACCCTATGAAGGAGACTTTATCTTCTGACACACAAGATTAAGATCAGACAGTTGGGAAAGGCAGAGTTGGGAGGTGAACTCAGGTCCTCTAGATCCATCTTGTCTCCCTGAGCTTCTGGGATCTCCTGAGCCCCACTGTGATGAGAGACGATGGAAGTCAAGTTAGCCCACACTGAGGCACAGCCATGTTCACATAATTCAGTAGCCCTGACAGTGAATGACAGAGAAGTCCATCTGAAGACTTTCTCTCTCTGCTTGCTTTAGTATTTATGTATCTAAAAAGGGCAGGAGAAGATCCTATTGGTATTTGGGTGGGAGAAATGCAGTCATAAACAGATTCTTCTGAGTTGGTGATCCATTTATATCACATTTCCCTCTGAGAGAATGAATCTAAGAAAGTCACTGAGCTCTTCCCCAGAAAATGCATATTTGCATAAAAATTCAAAAAATTCGTAGATGCCTTGAAATCAATTGATTGCAGATTTTTTTCCCCTGCTAAACATTCCTCTGGCACTGACAGTCCCTAAATATCCTGCAAAAGTTCTGCTTGAAAGTACTTTCTGAGCAAATCCAGTCCACAGGGTGTAAAATCGTGACAATTTAGTGAGAAGGAAGTGGTGGTGATAATAGAGAACAGAACACAGCAGATCTCTCCTCTGAGGAACCTGAACATAAAGCTGTGCTTGACATGAGAAAGCTGTGTCTGCTGGACTGTTGGCTAATCCCTGTGCTTCAAGGACCACTTGAGAGAACCCAGACAGTTTAGTCCCAGCTCTGCCACCTGTTAATGGTGTGACCTTGAACAAGTTATATACCTCTCTGAAGATCTGTTTTTTCCTCTATAATAAATAGAATAATAATGTATCTCTTCTGGAGTTGATGCGAGGAATGAGTCAGTTTATCTGAAAACAATAGCATAGTGGTTGATGATCCCAGTGCATCCCAATGATCCCAAGGATTCCTTCTAAGACATTGTGAATTCCATTCCCAATACTATTTCCTAAACATGGGAGAGGCTTTGGGAAAGTGCATGGGGCATGTGAAACAGGTTGAATAAATGTCTCCTCTGTCCATCGCTTCCAAGCCAGGAGGGGCAAGTTTTACTCCTTTCTTGCTGTTGCAGAACAGATGAAAGGGATGTTCAGGAATCTGCCCTGGCTGGTGAGCACCTCAACCTGGCCATGTCAAGCAAGACTCAATTCCAGAATCCTACTCTGATGGCAAGAGGAGAACCTTCTTTTTTCCAGAGTAAATCATACTGATTTATTTATGCATTTTTAAAACCCTGTTACTCCTTAAAAACAAACAAACAAACAAAAAACCCCTGTTACTCCTTAGGATCTATTTCAGATGTGTTCCTTCATTTGGTCCAAACATTCATCCATGCTGTTGATCCCACTCCCTGGATCCACTGGAACTTTGTTCCACAAATTATCCCCTCTTTTACTCCTGCTTACCTGTTTTTTGTTTTGTTTTGTTTTGTTTTTTTACTTGTTTTTTTAAAGATTTTATTTATTTATTCATGAGAGACATAGAGAGGCAGAGACCTAGGCAGAGGGAGAAGCAGGCTCCCTGCGGGGAGTCTGATGTGGGACTCGATCCCAGGACCCTAGGCTCATGACCTGAGCCAAAGGCAGACACTCAACCACTGAGCCAGCCAGGTGCCCCTTGTTATTTTTTAATGCAGTGTTTTGTTTCCTTTTTCATTATAAAAGTAACACAATCTCATTTGAGGTACATAAGAACAAAACTCATTATTATATATATATGAATATTTTTGGTCTGTTTCTAGCTATTTTCCCTAGGGCCTTATGCAGATAGTGGTAATCAGAAAGGCAGGGCCAGAAATAAAGATTTTTGAAAGGGTCTCTGGAGATAGGCTAAGCTGAGGAAGGAAAAAAAAGGAGGGGGAAGCAAAGGCCAACTTTCTTGATTAGAAAGCCAGTAAAGAACCTTTCTAGTTGTTATTGTTGGGGGAATTGAGGAGGAGGAGTAAGGTGATGGTTTCAGGGAATGGCAGAGTCTAAGATAGAGTGAGGAGAATGGGATACAGGACATTAAGTATGGCTGCAGGTTATAAACTTGGCCACCTGGGAAATTTTTAAAGAGAGTTAAATAAAGATTGGCATTATTTTTAATTTCTTTTGATAGCTGGATTATATTTGATGCAAAATCACACTGAAATTGAACCTCATGGACTCCAGGACTTATTTGGGTTACATAAGGGTAGCCAAGTTAGTTTAAACCAAATTGGATTTTTTTTTTACGTTTAAAACATTTATTATAGTAAAATTTCAAAAACCAAACATTTTTAAAAAGCTGCATTGTACCTATGCTTTTAGGGGATTTTTCTGTATGCTAAACTTAAATGCAGCATCTGAAAATAGGAGTCCAGTGACCTCTCCATTGTTTTCTGGTGAATTTGCCTGAAACAAACATAGTTTTTGCTGCTATAGAGACTTTTGAAAAATAGTTATATTACTTATTTTAACCTGACACATGTATTATGATTAAGACCAAATTAGATTTTATCATAATAGGCATGTTGTTCCTAGGGGGTGGTGAGCCTGAAGGTGGCCTGAGGACTTAGGGGAAGCGTGTTGCCTCTCCCATGTCATCTGCACACCATGAACTGGAGCAGCATCCCTGTAGTGACCAGCCTTCCTGGACTCTGTGTCTCTTACAGGTGGACACAGTCATGGTAGAGCTGAGTCTGAGCCACGTGGCAGATCGACTGATTGGCAACTACAACCTTGGGGGGATTTCCAGTGGCGAGCGGCGCCGGGTCTCCATTGCAGCCCAGCTCCTCCAGGATCCCAGTAAGTGGGACCCGAACCATTACTAGCTGCTGCTGTCTTCCAGGGTCTGAAGACATTTTCCATCCTTTTTTTTACAGTCTCCGTTTGGAAAGGGGTTTGTGTGGAACTGACATCATTGAGGTTTTTCAAACTGGGGACCCAATTTCTTTGGAAATGCTACATAGTTCCTGATGCTGTTCTACCATCCAAGTACAAAACAGCTCTTGGACTTGGAGACACTATATTTGTGTTTTAATATGCAGTTAGGGTCTTCCATGAACACAGGCCTCTGGTCTATTCTTATTAGAGAAGCACCACTGTGGGTGCTACGGAAAGCCAATGAGTTTGGGTGTGACTAGAAATGGCAGGAATTAAAGCGGGACTTTGATATGCAAAAAAGTATATATTTTGGAGAGAGGAGCCATCAAGATGGGGTAGCCAGTTACCTGCTGCTCCTGCTTGGTTTGGTCATTCTCCCTACCACTGGGAAAATCCCAGCTCTTAACCATCACCTGGAAGAGGACATGTTGCTCCTGGATACTCCACTGGGGCACGCTAAGACTGCTTGCTCTCCAACTAGTGGTTGGTCACTAGAAGGCAAAGAAGAGGGATGTTCACAAAGAGCCCTTCTCACTTCCTGGGTAGAAATGGCCACAGTTAAACCTTCTAAAGAATCTAAATGCCTGTCCCACCTAAGACTTTGTTTTATGGTGCAGAGTTTTTTTGCAGTGCAAAGACTCTTAGTGTTGGAAAGTGCTCCACATGAAGGTTATGTCTTTTTTTTTAATATTTTTATTTATTCATGAGAGACATAGAGAGAGGCAGAGACATAGGCAGAGGCAGAAGCAGGCTCTCTGCAGGGAGCCCAATGTGAGACTCAATCCCAGGACCCTGAGTCATGCCCTGAGTCAAAGGCAGATGCTCAACCGCTGAGCCACCCAGGCGTCCCTCTTTTTTTTTTTTTTTTTAAAGATTTTATTTATTTATTCATGAGACACACAGGGAGAGAGAGAGGCAGAGACACAGGCAGAGGGAGAAGCAGGCTCCATTCAGGGAGCCTGACGTGGGACTCGATCCCAAGACCCCAGGACCATGCCCTGGGCTGAAGGCAGGCACTAAACCACTGAGCCACCCAGGGATCCCCAAGGTTATGTCTTTTTAACCAGCCTCCTCTCAGCCTTTTGAAAACAACTTGGTGCCTGCTCGCCAGCCCTTATTCTTTGTCATGGCCCTTGGGACAGAGCCCAGACAGTCCATAGTACCACGTGAGAGGCCTGATCTTGTTGCTGCTCTGTCCCCTCAAGGATTAAGGCCAAGATGTGCTCTGGAGCTGGGAGGTGGGTCCTCTGAGGTCAGGTTCCTCTGCCTGGGCTCAAGCTGAAAGCCAGTTTACATGCAGGTACTTCTCACAGGGCACTGTTTAGATAGGGTAAGATGGGATGGGATAAGACATCTCAGTAAGGAACTGTTCAAAATTCTGAGTTTAGAGCAGAGCCCAGTCTTGTCAGTGACTCAGAAGCCTGACCCTTCCTTGCCTGCAGAAGTCATGTTGTTTGATGAGCCTACCACGGGACTGGACTGCATGACAGCAAATCAGATCGTTGTCCTCCTGGCAGAGCTGGCTCACAAAGACCGTATTGTGATTGTCACCATCCACCAGCCACGCTCCGAGCTCTTCCAGGTGAGGGGGGCTTTTGTTTCTGCTTACTTCATCAAGAGGGGGGGTGTGTTGAGCTGAGGATCCTGAAGTAGAGATTAGTACTTGTCAACCAGAGCATTTGGGTCCATTTGGGACCTGATATGGGAAGGGTGTCTACCATGTACCAAGTACTTTCTATACTAGTTCATTTAGTCCACATAACAATCTTATGAGGTGGATATCAGTATTGTCACTTTACAGAAAAGAGACTCAGAAATTATGCAAAATGGAGTCAAGGATCTAAGATAAAATAAACACCTTGTCCAAGGTCACTCTGGGAACATGGCTGAGCCTCAAACCCAGGTCCACTGCCCAGGTCCAGGAGTTCTTGTCCTTTCTGGGTGTGATGCTGGGTCCAGGCCAGATGCGGATGATGCACAGTGGCAACACAGGTTGAAGAAATAGGGACATACTCTGTATGTCCCCAGTGGCACAGTAAGAATACTGATGCATGGCCACGATCAACAGGGACTGACTGCTTGGAAATTTATTCTCCAGAAGGATACGGTGAACTGATACATACTAATGCCATTGATTTTCCCATCAGCTCTTTGATAAAATTGCCATTCTGAGCTACGGAGAGCTAGTTTTCTGTGGGACACCAGCGGAAATGCTTGATTTCTTCAATGGCTGCAGTTACCCTTGTCCCGAACATTCAAACCCTTTTGACTTCTATAGTAAGTGTTTTTTCACACTTCCCATCATGAATATTCACTCAATTTTATCATCTCAGATTTATGCATAGGTATCAAGAGCACTAGTGGATTTTATTCTTCCTTTTGTTTTGGTGATTTCAGTCTTTAAGGAGTTAATTTGGTCAGGTCAGTTAACTTTGCCATAGATGACCTATCAGAATGAGGTGGGGGATCTTTCTTAAATTGCTGCATGTCCACTTTGTCAGAGAAGAATCAGCTGAGCTTCTAAAGTCTCCCAGACAGCCCCAGTTCAATCCTCAGGGTCTTGCTGGTAGTTTTAAGATACTCTGATTTTATAGGTAGGCATGAACAACAGGTGTTTTTCTGATGGGATGAGGTATTAGCTAGTACTCCTGAATCAATGATGAAACATATATTATTAGCCATTGTACATATATATGTATTTAAAAACACACGGGTCATTTCTTTTGGGGGAAAAAATTAGTGGACCTGACATCAGTGGATACCCAAAGCAAAGAACGGGAATTAGAAACCTACAAGAGAGTCCAGATGATTGAATCTGCCTACAAAGAATCAGCAATTTATCGCCAAACCTTGGAGAACATTGAAAGAACAAAACACTTGAAAACATTACCAATGGTTCCTTTCAAAACCAAAGATTCTCCTGGAACTCTCTCTAAACTGGGTGTTCTCTTGAGGTAAGAGCCTCACCCTGTTTTAAGTGGTCAGATATCCACCAATAAAAGAAAAGGGATTAAAATGGGGTTGTTTGGCTTTCAGGAGAGTGACAAGAAACTTAATGAGAAATAAGCTGGCAGTGATTATGCGTCTTGTTCAGAATCTGATCATGGGTTTGTTCGTCATTTTCTACCTTCTGCGGGTCCAGAATGATGTGCTGAAGGGTGCTGTCCAGGACCGTGTGGGTCTCCTATACCAGTTTGTGGGTGCCACCCCATACACAGGCATGCTCAACGCTGTGAATCTGTGTGAGTGCCTGTGCCCAGTTCACCCCAGGGGTGGGGAGGGCACTTCCTCTCTTCCTGATCATCTCCCTTCTCCAGCTGGCATCTTATCTTGTAAGACTCCACCATTATAAGGGGTATTTTGCTGAACTAAACTTGGCCCTCTCTAGATTCTCTCCCTGGCAAAGAGTTAACTACTGAGTTACTAACATCTTTGTGTGAATTAGTTGATCAAGTAGATCTCTCTGAGGGTTTTTAAGGGTTCAGGAAAACATGAAGTTAGGGCTGCTGATGGGGCAGGGTTTGGGAAGAGATTTTTAAAAGATCATTCCCATTATCCCTATCTTGGCAATTAGGGTGTGCAGCCTGAGGTCCAAGATACCTGCCAATTTTGTACTGTTATATTCTTTTTGAAGCCTATTTTAGGACAGCTAGCACCCGTTTTTCAAATTGAGTGAGGATCCAGAAACACCACCTAGTTGCCTGGTGTTCTGTACCAAGACCCTGCACAAAAAGAGGACAAAGTACCTCACATCATTCGTGACCCTTTTGCACGTGTTCTTGAATTTGTGACAACTCTCCCCTGACTTTAGAGAAGGAAATAAATTATGACAGTTTTTACAACCATATTGTAATTCAAGTACAGTAGATTTCTGTAGGGGGAAGTGTTTACAGTTCTGTGGACAGCAGTTCTCCTCTTTACATGACTAGGGAGCCCCAGCTCGTCCCCATCATCCAACCCTGACAGAACTCAAGTTCATTCTGGGCTAGCCCTTCCCTTAGCTCTGTGGCAATGACCAGCTATTCTGAAGCCTGTCTTCTGTGCCCAGTTCCTTTGCTGCGAGCTGTCAGCGACCAGGAGAGCCAAGACGGATTGTACCAGAAGTGGCAGATGCTGCTGGCCTATGTGCTCCATGCCCTCCCCTTCAGTGTCCTTGCCACCATAATATTCAGCAGTGTGTGCTACTGGTAAGGGGGTGTTCAGAGGTGTTCAGTCCTGGGTCTGTTCTCCTGGGGAGCTCCAGGTGGCCACTGGGACTGAAGGAGGGGGAGCTCCAGGGTGAACGCCTTCTTCTTGGCCCTGGAGATCTTTATTTGCCCATCAGTGCCTAGTACAATATCCTGTCCTTTAAGACAAATAAAAAAAGCCAGCGGGGGCCACATGGGACCTGAGAGCTGACCAGCAAGACTGCATGGTGCTAGGCACTGCTGTGTCCCACATCCTCTGCAGGGCCTGCAAAGACAAGGTTGCCCTGAAGTAGTTGGGATCCAGGAGCAGAGGCATCCAGCAGCTGTTCAATAGCAATAGAACATGGCTCCCAGGGGCAGCCCGGGTGACTCAGAGGTTTAGCGCCACCTGCAGCCCAGCGCCTAATCCTGGAGATCTGGGATCAAGTCCCACGTCAGGCTCCCTGCATGGAGCCTGCTTCTCCCTCTGCCTGTGTCTCTGCCTCTCTCTCTCTGTGTGTCTCTCATGAATAAATAAATAAAATCTTTAAAAAAAAAGAAAAAAAAAAGAACATGGCTCCCAGGCTCCTCCTAGCTGGAAGGGCAACTCTGCTGAGGTTCCACCTACAACCTCACAGTTGGGCTGGCGTGAGGGGGCTTGAGCAGTGGAAGAGCGGCTTTGGGAAGGGGCACATCCCTGTTGCTCTTAGGTTTGGATTGATGGCTTCTTTCTGGTTTTGTTAGAGCTTTTAAAAGATACAAATCTAAGAATGTGTACTTATTTGCACTTACATAATTGTCATCAGAGGAAGAAGTACCTTCCCTGTTCCACATGGCTTTCCCTTAGGAAAAGATGGGGGTATTACCTGGTATTCTGTGACTCTGGTAGTTTAAAGGTGCCCAGCTTGTTATTTGGAGAACTTCAGGCAGTTCTTGGGATGCTTTCTTCAGGCCAGAATTCAGAAGCAGGTGTTCCTAACATAGCCCGTATATAGATCCATGATACATTACATGAATATAATTATTATGAATTAAGTGTTATGTAAGCAAAAGACAAACCAGGGCCTAGTGAGTTTGAGCTCCCTGATGAAGAGTGGGAAGGTCTTGGGGTGGGTGTTTAGAAGTTGGTCTCATTCTGGAGAGTGACAGAGGCAGAGCCACTTGCTCCGAGTTAGCAGCAGGATGGGCTCCCCACCGAGGGTGATGGCAGGGACCACAGGGCCTCCCTGCCTGCCCTGATGAAGCCTCGCTATTCTCAGACACTCAGGAACATTGAATCTCTAATCTCTGATGTAAACCACAGGTTTGTCTAGTTTAGGCTGAATGATCCTGAAGATTTTAAAAATCTGATCATTTTTGAGTAAATCAAGTTTGGCTGAAAATTGAAGACGTTGCTAATTTAGAATCTTGCTACTCAGTGTGGCCCATGGACCAGTGTCAGCCTTACTTTGGAACTTGTTAAACATGCAGAATCTCCAGTCCAGCTACTGAATTGGGTTCTGCCTTTAAAAGGACCCCCCAGGTGGTTCATATGCACTTAAAATTTGTGAAGCACTGATTTTGAAGACCATATAATATTTGGAAAAGTGCCCATGAGGAAAAAAGTACTTTAAGATTTGAGAAAATAGGGCAGTTTTAAACTAGGCTCAGTGTAAGCACACAGGTCATGACTATTTTTGATAAAAAGGCATAAAAAGAATCATTTCTAGTGGCAGCAAAGCTGTTAGCAATGTAGCAAATACTTTGATTAAATGACAGAAATATTTGTTGAATGCCTACTAAGTACCGGGCATAATACTAGGTGCAACAGAAGACTCAAAGAGGAGTGAACAGAAGGTGTTGCCCTCTGCACTCAAGCTTGCAATTCTGAAATGTAAACATCTCTGAAACCTACAGTGTTTTTGTAACTTTTAGCAGCACAAATGACCTGAAATAAGTGGCAAAATCTCATCTGAACTGACATGATGTTCTTTATACTTTCCCCACATCAACACAACATGCTTGATTATAAGTGGAGTCCCCGATCCCACTGTGACAAGTATGGTCTATGCAGTGTACAGCCTTTCCAAAATCTGTAAATTGCCACATTTCAAAACACATCTGGCTCTAGAGCATTTCAGATGATGGATTGTAGGCATAAATCTCCAGATGATTTTAATTCAAGAGAGTGTAAGATTAGTATTATAAGGATGCACAAACACTATGCTGAGGAATATAATAACTAACACATACGGAGCACCGGCTATGTCAGGCACTAAAGGGCTTTAAATGTATTAATTCAGATAATTGGCTTGCAATCATTCTATAAAGGTGTGCTATAATTATTGTTCGTAGATGAGCAAACTGAGGTACAGATGGAGTAAGTATCTTTTTCATTTCACATCCATTATCCAAGTTAATTACAAAGGAGAACAAGAGCCCATTTGGTTGAGAGGACAGCTTGAGAGATGAGCATTATTCGGATGGATAGAAAAGAGAGCAAGGGCAGTCCAGGAAAAGAAAGAGCAAGGGCATAAGTTCAGGAGCAAAAACACATAGGACCTTTCCAGAGAAAGGTTCAGTTGTGCTGTGAGAGAAAAGGATTGGAAGGAGTAGTGAAAGGTATGACTGGCCCCTCTGGGGGGGAAGGTGTTGGATGTCAAGCTAAGGGGCTGAAGTGGATTTGATAATGGAACATAGAAGAGGGTTTTGAACCAGGGAGTGACCCATCTTTCTTGGACTCTGGAGGGTGAGGCTGGCTTGCTTTGGCAGCAGACTAGAGGTGTGGTATATCCATTCATATTGCAGAGCTTCATGGAGGTAAGGGATCAGATTAAGTAGTCATTAGCAGTCTTCCAAAAAGGATCTTCAGTAGTGTGGTGGGGCTACAAGTCAGATTCACAAGAGAACAAGTAAAGAAGGAGGTAGAAGAAGCAGATATTGCTTGAGAAGCTTGATGGTATAGGGTAGGATGAAAAGAAGGCCATTGCTCACATAGTTATCAGGCTCAGGGAGTGGGTGTTTTTAGGATATGGTAAATAACACTGTCAGGAAAAACCGTTAGATTGAAGAGTAGATGAAATTATAGCAAAATAGGAAAATTCACAGATCAAGTTTCGCGGGGAGTGCAGGGTAGGGATAGGGAATCAGGATAACATGAAATCAGGGAACAAATGGATAGGATCAACTTGGCAACAATAGGGGGAAAAGAGAGAGAATGAGCACAAGACATGGAAGATGAAAAGTAGAGAAGATAAAGATAGCAAGAAATTAGTAATTGAGTGGACGGGATAATTTAAAGTAGAGGTATAGATTAGCCATGAGGGACATGTCATTGGAACCCAATAAACGGAAAAAAAATAGGGGTCTAGGGGTTCAGGTGAGGCAGAGCAGATTTGATTAGTGCTGAGGAATGCCTTGTTCAGCACACCTTCAGGGAGAGAACTTAAGTGAAGAACCCGGGTCTCTGGGTGTGGGGACTGGTAGGCAAAGACAGAAGGGGGTAAGGACCTGAGGTAGGAGAGAGGAGGGATGCCCTGATCAGCACTTTCAGAATCTGAAATCTTGGGAAAATAGAACAGTTCTGAGTAACATTTAAGTCCAAGACATGGTGAATGATGAAGATTAGGTAGATGGAGCCATGGGAACTGGTCAGGTTGCCTTATTAGGAGGCACTGATGTTGATGGTTCATCAGGAAGGTTAAAGACCTTGAGGATAAATGATAGTGGGCAGGAGTGCAAAGACTGACCCTTGTCCAGATGCTGTAAAATCATCAAAGGTGAGAGAATGCCCTAAAAGCCACAAAGGGTTGCACAGGGAAAGAGAATTAATGGTACAAGCAAATTCATGATTTGTGGCCTTGAGTGGTAGGGAGGCATGCATCTAAGACGTACCAGCTCCTTTTCCTTACTGTACAAATGCAAGAAAGAGCAGCCATGTCTAATGGTTGTTGGGGACACACTATCACCAGGGAAGTGTATTTAGTGGAAGGAATATAAGAGTGAAGGGGCATGGGGATCCCTGGGTGGCGCAGCGGTTTGGCGCCTGCCTTTGGCCCGCCAGGGCGCGATCCTGGAGACCCAGGATCGAATCCCACATCGGGCTCCCAGTGCATGGAGCCTGCTTCTCCCTCTGCCTATGTCTCTGCACCTCTCTCTCTCTGTGTGACTATCATAAATAAATAAAAATTAAAAAAAAAAAAAGAGTGAAGGGGCATGGATGTAGGGAAGTCTGTTCACAAGAAAATGGGGATCAAGTCTGTGGAAGGAGCTGGTAGAACAAGAAACAAGAATGGAGCAGACCTGAAGGGCTAATTCACCAGTCGATGGAGGCAGCGAAGGGTTTTCACATTGGCAACCATCCCACGGTAACAGGGATGGAGGGGCAGAGCGGCAGGTCGAGTGAGCCTTCAGCACTGGGAGAGTAGGCTAGGCTAGTTAGGGTAGGAGCACGGCTAGCTAAGCAGAGCATGGTTATTTATGGAGAAGCTTGGAGAGTTCAACACCTCCACTTACTGCACCGATTGTGAGCATTGTTTATTAATATTTTCCTCTGAGAACTGAAGGAGCTGTAAAAGGGAAAAGGTGGCACACTAAGTCAGAGCCAACAGAAACAGTTTGTAGTAAAAAATGGTCTCAAAGGGTGTCTCTGTTCCAAAAGGCCTTTCAAGGAGTTTGGCTTACCCTGCAAACTCTTCCCACCCATTAACCACCATGGACTTATTCATAGAAGGCACATGTGGTATTTTTCTTAAATAATCCCTGGAGAGGAAACTAAAGACTTTATGTATTTCTAGGACTCTGGGCTTGTATCCTGAGGTTGCCAGATTTGGGTATTTCTCTGCTGCTCTCTTGGCCCCCCACTTAATCGGTGAATTTCTAACTCTTGTGCTACTTGGTATGGTCCAAAACCCAAATGTGGTCAACAGCATAGTGGCTCTGCTCTGCATTGCTGGGATACTTGTGGGATCTGGATTAGTAAGGTAAGATATGACAGTTTGGGATTTTCGTTGACGATCTGTTGTTAATGAATCACTTGATAACAATTGTTATAAGAAATTGCAGAGAAGAGCTGTGTGATACTGGCTAAAGGTATTGCCTTATGATCTGGAGTATTTAGTACTTATCATTACTGTTTAGACCTTGAACTGTTTACCACGTGTTGAGTAAAATGTCTTCACACTGAGAATCAAGAAATGACAATTTAGGCATGTTATCCATATGATTCACAGGTAGTTAACAAGAGGAGGAAAACCAACCCATCCTCCAGAAAAACTCACAGCCTATCCTTACAAGCTAAATAGCATGTATTTAATTCATTTCTGCTCTGGCACTGTGGAGTCTCTCTCTGTTCTGGTTCTCAATTACGGGTTCTTTTAGGAAGTAAGAACAGTCAGATTAAGAGCTTGCATGACAAAAGACTGATCAAGAAAATATCAGGACTAGAAGGACACATACTAAATGTTACCAGCAATTATTTCTGGGTAATAATGTAGTTTAACTTTTTCTTATATTTCCCTTACTTTTTTGAATTTCTATAATAAAGCATAATTTTATAAGACAATATATATGTCCACATACATACATTTAAAAAAAGCAATAGCAGAAAGGGTGGAAAATTTTAGAAGAGTGTTGGTGGTCCCAGGCAGGTGATGTGTCTATTAAGTATGCTAAGGGTCCCTGAGGAAATGTGAAGGTGGCTATTTCTTTGACTTAAAAACAAAAAAACTCAGAGCATCTACTATATGTAATTACATTTATATTTATATATTTATATATTTAATTATTTAACTCTCAGAGCAATCCATGTTTCAGACTTGACCTCTAGTCAAACTACTGTGAAGACTCCCAGGCCACACGTGGCTCCCTGGAGAGAGGTCTGACCCAGGAGTCAGATACTTCTTCTACCATTTATCTGCCACATGACCATTGGCAAGTCACTTTTCTATCTAAATTTGTTTCTTCATTTATAAAATGGAGCTAATGATCTCAGCCCTACCAGCCTCAAGGGAACATGAGAAACAAATGAGATAATAATCAACAGGAAAGCACTTCATAAGCTGTACTGAATTATATAAAGGCGAAAATTACAAAGTGAGCTGGTTTTGATCAGTCAAAATTACAATGCCATTATTACATTGTGTTAAGTGATTGTTAACATCTATAAAAAAATGCACAAATCAAGTCACCCCAAAGGGTAGCCAATCAAGCCAGCAAGGTACAAGACCCAACGCTGGGCAGGATCTCCTCTTGAATATTTGAATTATTACCTGCTCCAGTCACTCTGGCACTATTTTGTGTATTTGGTTTGTAGAGAAAGATTCGTTGTTTTGAAAAGAGAGGCAGTGGCCAGCATTATCAAAGGCTCTTGGGTTTTTTGCAAAACCTCAACATCCCAAGGCTTCATCTGGATTCTGCTTCCATCACTGAACTGTAACTCTGCTCTTGGGGCACCTGAGTGGCTCAGTGGTTGAGCATCTGCCTTTGGCTCAGGTTGTGATCCCGGGGTCCTGGGATTGAGTCCCACATCAGGCTCCTCACAGGGAGCCTGCTTCTCCCTCTGCCTATGTCTCTGCCTCTCTGTGTGTTTCTCATGAATAAATAAAATCTTTAAAAAAGAAACTCTGCTCTTCAAGGGCCACATCAACCTCTTAGTCATAAAGTTCATATTCTTCCCTCAGGTCATCACCTTTCCTGACTGCCTGCCTGCAATATTTGCATTTTTGGCTGCCTTTTCCTTTAAACACAAACAGAAATAGCTGCTTTGTGCTTACAAAATAAATGCAAATTCTTTGGAGAAAAAAGCTACACAATACAGAACTGTATAAGGAAGAAAGTAAAAGTTACCTTAAGTATCAACCTTCAGTTAAATTTTGTTGTGTATCTTGCTAGACTTTTATATTTAATGAAAATGAGATTGCACTATTGTGAAGAAGTATGCATTTAACGATACAATGTGGACAGTCCCACATCAATAAATTTATTTTTATTTTTTTTATAAAGAACATGGTTTTTTTTTTTTAAGATTTTATTATTTATTCATGAGAATACAGAGGAGACAGAGAGGCAGAGGCACAGGCCCAGGGAGAAGCAGGCTCCATGCAGGGAGCTCGATGTGGGACTCGGTCCGAGGTCTCCAGGGTCATGCCCTGGGATGAAGGCAGGAACTAAACCACTGAGCCACCTGGGCTGCCCCACATCAATAAATTTAGATACATGGTTCCTTCCTCTCTAAAATGCTCCAGATTTCTATGATATAGCCTGATTATCCTCCTGTGTCTTTCACAGACCTGTTTGTGTCCGTTTACCACCCGTAAAGAAGCCTGCATGCTGTTCCTTGGCTAGATTAGCTCTCTCTGAAATCCCACTATATGCCACTTCTGTTGCAGCTTTCCTTTCAAAGGATGGCAGCCTCTGGAGGACAGTAGTGGTGCCTCATTCATTATAGTTCTTCTCAGTGGCTGGCCCAAGCCCTTGAACCAAGTAGGTTTGCAATAAATATCTGAATTGAGTGAATGAATGACTGTTTTCTCTCCTGGGACTGCCTACACATTGGATCAATCACCAACTTCTGTTGGGTTTCATCTTTGCTTCCAAACCACAAATACATGTGGAGCCTTTACATGTATTCCACCCTGTGTGGTGCACTGCAAGATGAAGTCACATAGTTCCTATCTTAAGAGAGGAACCTTCTGGCCAGCTAGGCAGCCAGCCCGTTAAGGCCATCATCCTGTTGCAGGCCTTTGTCATCTTATACTTGAACTACTGCTGAAACAGTTCCCTTTTTGCCTTTCTGCTTTTCCTAATCTGTCCTTATTCCATCCCTCTAGTTGCTGGTGCAACGTTTTCTTAAAACACTGATTTTATGGTCTTTCAATGTCAGCCCACCACAAGGCTCTGAAACAGCAGGTTCCTGTCATTCCAAACTCAGCTCCCACTGCTTCAGATCCTCTGTTTCAGCCCTTCTGGCTCATTTGGCCCCATATGCAGTCCTTGACATGCCTGTGCTCATACCATCCTTCCTTCCTAGAATGTCTTTCCTCTCTTCCTTCCTTCCTTCCTTCCTCCCCAGGTTCCTGCCTGTCCTTTCCAATTAGCCTCTCAATTGGCTGATTCAATTTTGTTCCTTAGAACATTGCCCATAACTGAAAGTCATGGGGTTTGGAGGCCACGTGGGAATAAGTAAAAACCATAAATACTAAGTACAAGAATGTCATGGACATGTGGTGCTGGATTATTATATTTGGCACAAATTGTTTACCACTGTTTTTTTTTTTAGTCTTAAGGATATATATTTTCTGTCCCCAATTACATTGTGAGTTCTCTAGGGGTAGGGTACTTCTTTGAATTCCTCAAGCACTTAGAACTAGTGCCTCACAAATAAAAAGATTTAATCCATATTTGTTGATAGAAATTATATAGTGGACAGAGGAAACCACAAGGTCAGCATGAAGTTTCTCCTAAGAGACTGAAGAGGGAACAGAGTTCATTTTGAACATCACAATGAACATCTGCTGTTCTCTCCATCCTCTCCCCTTGTATCATCGTTAATTCTCACTTCACAAACTAGCTCCTTCAAATCTCTATTTAATCACAAATATCCTCCTCTAAAGTGATGTGTTAGGTGTGTATTTTCTTTCATGTTTATATCATCGGTGCTTATCAAAAAAATTAGACACCAATCCATCATCAGGGGATTGTTAAATTAAGGTTTCTACTATAATGGACCAGTGAGCTATAATTAAAATGATGGAGTGCTATGCTTACTGACTTGGAAGGCTGTCTGACACGTGTTTGGTTGAAAAAAAAGTAGGTTAAAAAAGAGCATGAAGAGTGTGATTCCCCTTATGTAAAATTTTATAAACACATACGTATACACACGTTACATGTATCACCAAAATTTTAACCATAGTTATTTCTGGGCAGTGGTATATTTTTGTACTTCTCAGTATTGTTTGATGTTTTTCACAGCACAATTTTTAAAATGAGAGATAAAAACTATATTCATAATGGGAAACATAGAATGAAGGCTGCTTTTCTTTTCACTTGGTAGGACTGTTACCAGAGACTACTGAATTTTAGCCTGCTCTCTTTTTTCTTCAGAAACACAGAAGAAATGTCCATTCCTTTTAAAATCTTCAGTTATTTTACATTCCAAAAATACTGCTCTGAGATTCTTATAGTCAATGAGTTCTATGGACAGAATTTCACTTGTGGTAAGTACTCTGTTTTAGAATATATATATATTTTTTTACATGTTACTCTGAGGAAGCAATTCCCTGAGGGAAATGTATTTTTTAAATAAAAGCTATGTTTTATAATAGATTTAAAACCTTGTTTTGAAATAAAAGTCTAACAGTGTCTCTGATTTTTAAAATAAAAGTCAAGTTAGTTACGCGTCAAACGCCAACAGCTCAAGCCACTCTGATGTTTTTAGAAAACAGTAGGCCTGGGGCACTTGGCTGGCTCACTCAGAAGAGCATTAGACTCTTGATCTTGGGGTTGCAAGTTTGAACCTCACACTGGGGATAGAGAGTACTTAAAAAAATAAAATCTTTAAAAAATTGATAGACCTAATGTACACCAGCATAAACTTTAGTATACTCTGGGTGGAATCTGTTTTTAAGATTTATTTATTTGAGGGAAGGAGAGAGAGCACATGCACATGAATGGAGAGGGGCAAAGGGAGAGCGAGAATCTGGAGCAGTCTGCACACTGGGTGTAGAGTCCCCCACAGGGCTCCATCCCATGTCTATGGGGTCATGACCTGAACTAAAACCAAGAGTCAGTTGCTTAACCAACTGAGCCACCTAGGCGCCCCTGGAATCCGTTCCGAAGAGAACAGGTTGAAGCAGGTTGCAGTGTCTTCTTGTTCCCTAAAATGTATGTAGTATATAACTGAGTAAGTCATTTTTGGCAAAAGTCTGTTCTGCAAGCCCATGAGAAGCAGTGGGAGCATAACCAGGTCCTTCTGGCCATGGAAATCCCAGGCCAATCTGTGAAGGCAACTAAAGAACAGGGCAGAATTTAATGGTTGTTTTAAGTAGTTTTAGGTGGTAATAGCAGTAACTTTAGGATATTCAGTACTAGGTGATCATAGTGATCATGATTTTTTCAGTACTGTTGTAAGGAATTTACACCCCCAAATGGAAACAAATCCATTTCCATCTCAAAATGAAGCTAGGACCCAGAACACTATTGCTTCACCTAATAATGAGTTCTGGGCTCTCTAAAATGTCCTGTATCTTTCATAGTGACAGGTACTTAGCAGGCAGTTGGTAAATACTTGATGAAAGTATCTGGGACACACCATATCTGACACTGTCCATCTTTTCCTGGCAGGCAGCTCAAATGGTTCTGTGACAACTAATCCAATGTGTGCCTTCACTCAAGGAATTCAGTTCATTGAGAGAACCTGCCCGGGTGCAACATCCAGATTCACAACCAATTTTCTGACTTTGTATGCCTTTATTCCAGTTCTTGTCATCCTAGGAATAGTTGTTTTTAAAATAAGGGATCATCTCATTAGCAGATAGTAAAGAACATTGCCACAAAAATGGAACTTAAGCCCAATTGTGCATGACTACTTTGAATGTCTGAAATAAGAAAGCCATATGTTTCTTAACAGTACATCTTAAGTCTTTTAACCACTTGAACTCCATCTGTGCCCCCTCAGATCCATGCTGGCCTTGAATGATAGTCTGACTTGTAGGACATGGGCTATTTAGAAATTGTGAGTGGGCTAGTCCAAAAATGTAAATAGTAATAACTTACAATCTTTCATAAAATTATGGGAGACTAGTGTGACTGTTTTCTTTGTTCTAGACACAGAAAAATAGGTCAGTTAAAAAATTATGCTTACAGGGCGCCTGGCTGGGTCAGTCGGTGGAGCATGCAATTGTTGATCTTGAGGTTGTGAGTTCGAGCCCCACACTGGGTGTAGACTAAAAATTTAAAAGATCTTAAAAAAATTGTTTACAAACAAAATTATGATTACATTTAATAAAAGATTTGGTGAGAAGAAGATATTTGAATGGTTACTGACTGTAAGTAACAGAAAAGAGTGTTGTGGGTTTGAGTGAAGCAAAGCATCATGCAGAACTGGGTGGGAATGCTTCATCACTGAAAAATCCACATTTATTTGTACACGTTTACATGAGGGTCTGAGTTACCCAATCACAGTGAAAGGATGTTGGACAGATGCTGGATGATGAAGACCCCTGATACAGAGCACTCAGGGATTTTTTTGGGAGTTAAAACGTCCAGGAATGGGCTGAACTGAGAACACAGCATGCCAGACAGACCTCGGGTAATGTTTTTAAATATTAGTTTGCTATTTTTCTACTTTTCCCTTAGTTTACTTACAAAATCAAAAGTGAATGTTACTAGATAAAGTGTATGCACTGAGAAATGACATCTTTAATGCTAAAGAAGAGGGGTTATTTGAAGTCCATAAAGATAAGATGTTCAACTGACATTGAAGAACCAGGTTACACACACAGAATTCAGGTTCTTGAATCATAAAGAGAAAAAGATGCTGACAAATACAAATAGAGAAACTTGTATTACATAATTTTAGGGATGAAATGATGTATATAGAGGATTAAAAATAGGTTCTGTACTAAATGACTGATTATCTTTCTGGTTGATCTTTAGGTAATTCATGTACAAGTCTGAAAAGACCCTGTCTCAATGTTACCATGGTAATGCTGAGGGAGAACATCTTAGTGAGTACATGAACTTCTTCAGTTGCTGTGACCTAACTTGCAAAGAATGATAAATTATAGCATTTGAAATGTCTCACACTGTAGCAGAAAAGATCATTTCATTAAGGAAACCACAGTAAAATTCTATTTCTTAGAACAGTATTTAAGGATCTGGAGACATTGGCAAATTACCAGAATAGTATTGTCAATTTTTATAAAAGGTCTCTGACACTGATGATTATGGTATAATAGTTACATAATGCCTTACAGATTATATATGTCACATCAGTTATAGACAATTCTGCAGATGATAATCTATTAAAGTAGTTCAAAGAGAGTCCCACAGGAACCTCTTTTGAAATCGCTGATTTCAACTTACTAAAGATATGGGTGTGCATTGTAAGTGGAAACATTTCTACTATTCATATGCAGATGAATTTCATCTAGCTCAGAAACATTTGGAAAATTGACACAGCACGTGACTTCAAGCTATTAAATGTTAGTGATACCATCTTAGAAAAACACAATGACTTTCAACATGTGACAGTATATGTCTCAAGTCAAAAATGGACAGTGATGTGTAAGACAATCAAATTATATAATAGAAATTTCTATTACTATTGTGGAATAGGCTGTTTCTTCCCACCAAGTCCAAGTGGATGTTTCTGAGATGATAATGTTCACTATTAATTTAAAGGGAGCTCTTTCTCCACAGCACTTGGGCAGGGTGCCTGTCTGCACCTAAGAATGAGGTTCTTTGGAAACGTGCTGAATCCTGTTGTCAGGAGTGCTGGAAACCACATGCACTGCTAAGAGTTTATGAAGTCTTATTACTTCATTGCAGTTATCAGGGAGTTTGCTCTCCACTCAGATACCACTCATCAGTTTTCGTGTTCTTGGGGTAAGTGTGCTTATTTGAAGCTGGGTGTATGGTTTATTACAGTGAACATATATTATGGTGGAAATGGAAGATCGCAGAATAAATGACTTTCTTGGTAGTGATAACAATTATATTTACTCCAGATTGAACTTGGCTAGCAGGCATACAAATCATAGATCGAGAAGGCTTTTTAAAAGCCTTTGGAAATGATCTTCCAATATTACCAATTCATTAATTTTGGCCTGCTTTCTGATAGCATATCTCCTTAAATTTACCTGTTCTTCAAAAACTTTTACCCAAAATAAGTATGTGAGAATTATCAGAGCTGCCTGTACCCCATTCAACACCCACTGATTCAGGGTCTCTGGGTGTGGGAACTCAGGAGTGTTCATTTTATTTTATTTTTAAAGATTTTATTTATTCATGACAGACACACAGAGAGGGAGAAAGAGGGGCAGAGACACAGGCAGAGGGAGAAGCAGGCTCCATGCAGGGAGCCCGACGTGGGACTTGATCCTGGGTCTCCAGGATCCAGCCCTGGGCTGAAGGCGGCGCTAAACCACTGAGCCACCTGGGCTGCCCAGGAGTGTTCATTTTAAATGGGTTCTTCGGGTGCTTCTTGTGCCTGTGTTTTACAGTCAATGATGACACCTGTGCACATGACCCCGATTCTAAAAAATTCCTTTGAGAAGGAATGTGTCTAATAGAAATGTTTAAACTCATATTCATAATTGTTACTAAAGGATCTTGCTTTTTCATAGTCCTGAAACAGCATAATAAAGCAGAAACTTATAAGTGCTGAAGTGAGTATACACTAAACATACTAGAGAAAGGTAGAAGAGTTTTTATTTTAAAAAATACTGCATGTCATTATACAACTTTTCCCCCTTTTAAAAGACTTCTAATTATCCAGGGAGTTGCACTTTAATACAAGAAATGCCACTTTTAACAAATTACAAATCTTTGCTTCCTTCATTTATTACCATTATGCTAATTATAAACTTACTTGTATTTGGGAAAGAAGAAATAAATACACTATAGTTGAATTAGGTTCAAGAATCAAGCTCAATTTGTTTCCAAGACTTGGAAGAACTTCTTTTGTATTGTTCCAGTTCCTAAAACAAAAATATGTATTAAGAAAAAAACTTTAAAAATTAAACTAGGCACCTTAGCATTTTTTAGGTATGACAGCACATCCTTTATGGTATTACCATTCGCAAAATTTCTTGACAATTATCTTGTAAATTCTTACTAGGATTTATTTTCTAGAAATGTAGAGTCTTTAGAGTTTCTACAGCCTAAACAACACTTAGAGATGCACTTAATAAAGATACACTACATATACATACAAATTCTTTAAACTATTCAAATAAATGCATTTGTCATATTTTAAAGTGATCTTTTGTTTTCTGTTCAAGTCTTGCCAAAACTGGGTTGATGTTGTCAAATTATCAATGTTTAGAATGTATATATTATTTTGACCCAGTGATTCTGCCTTTTAAAATGAATCTCACAGAATAATAGAGAAGAATGCAAGAATATAAATAGAAGGAGGGTCACTGTACTGTGTATACTGGCGCACAAATGGAAACAACTTAGCTATCTCCCAGGAAGGACATTATTAAAGATGTCAGAGCCCATTCACACAGGGTTTCATGGGCAGCCAACAAAAATTCCAGTGGTCGTATGTGCCACACGGAAAAAGCAAACAGGTGGAGAGGACAGGATACTTCCACTTTCTATTTTTTTATTTTATTCTATATCTTATGAGGGTTTTTTTCCGTGATGAGTATATGTTACTTCTAAAATTCATAAAATAAGTTCTGGTATGGGTGGAGCCCTGCATGAGATGATTGATATGCAAAGGGATCATCAAAGGGGATTGCCTCCTTTCTTCTTACATATTGTTCAGTGTCTCAGTAACTGTACAAAGTATATTATTTCAAATAAGCAGAAAGTGGTTACTCTGCAAGATAAGGCAAACACTGCCCTTTGGCTAACATAATTGAAGTTCATAGTTGCAATGAAAATTCCATTCTCATTTTCAGAAAAATTGCAGATTGTCTCTTTCATACCTATACTCAAATTACTGAAGTTTAAATGTTAAAAGTTTTAAAACTGAAGAAAGACTTTGAAGAGTCTTTATATGATAATTCCAAGGTAGAATTTGCAGCCTGGTTTATTCTTTTAAAATGAAGTTAATTCAGTTCACCAATCATCCACCGCATAGGGTTTTGAAGATTGTTAACTCATAACGAATACAGTAATCAGTTCTCTTGCCTTTAATTGGAAGCACTGAATTGTTATTACCAATGATAAGGGTGAGGACATTGTTTTGACATTCTCTGTTAAAGATATCTATCTTACTTCTGCAGAGAATGGAAGAACAGGGCTGGTCACACAGCCATGTCACAAAGAATGAGTGGTGTTATACAGAACTCACCATGTCTACTAGACCTTCAATACTGCTGCCATAGGAAGTCAAAATAATATGATGCTCTAAAGGAAGAGCAAGTAAGAGGATTTTCTTTACACTGCAATTCTTTGTGGTTGCTTTAAAGAGCCACTTTATTTATTTTTAAAGATTTTATTTATTTATTCATGAGAGACAGAGAGAGAGGCAGAGATGTAGGCAGAGGGAAGAGCAGGCTCCATGCAGGGAGCCTGATGTGGGACTTGATCCCGGGACTGCAGGATCACACCCTAAGCCAAAGGCAGAAGCTCAACCACTGAGCCACCCAGACATCCCTAAAGAGCCATTTTAAAAATGAATGTAAAACTAAGAAAAGGTTCCACCTTGCCTCTTAAGAACCTCTCTAAGGTTTTCAACCATAAATGGACCACTGTCTTAAAACACTTGAAGATTGAAGATGTTTAAATAAAGGACAGTAAGAACTTTTCCCCCCTAAACATGTAAATGAGTATGTCTTTAAATTATAGGTTTAGGGAGTATGAACAAGTTGATTTTTGAAAACGGATTCAAAATAGATATGTATGGTTGGCCAAGAAGACCTTAAAGATATTGTTTACCCACTTTTTTGTTGTTGTTTTCTTTGGCAATAAAAATATAAAAAAGAGGTAGAAAGATTTAGCAAGTGCTTTCTATACATATGTCCCCTTAAAATCAGGAATGCCTTAAAACTAGAGGGCTTTTTAAATTATGGAAGCAGAGCAGCCACGGTGGCTCAGTGGTTTGGCGTCACCTTCAGCCCAGGGCCTGATCCTGGAGACCTAAGATCAAGTCCCATGTCAGGCTCCCTGCACAGAGCCTGCTTCTCCCTCTGCCTGTGTCTCTGCCTCTCTCTCTCTGTCTCTGCCTCTCTCTCTCTGTGTCTCTCATGAATAAATAAATGAAATCTTAAAAAAAAAAAAAAATGGAAGCAACCCAAGTGTCCATCGTTAGAATGGAACTTGTGAGTTAGCCTCTTCATCTTAGAAATGACATGCTCTAATTTCACTGGCAAAACTTAAAAGGCCCCAAACTTTGTTTTTGTTTCTTCCCTGATGAATAAGACACTAATAATGGGGCTTGGGGATGGAGAAGATAGGAGGATCACATGTGGTCTCAGACAGGCTTAGGGCCAGCCCTCTACTCCTATGCAACTATATTAGATCTTAATGAAACAGGACATCATCTGTTCTCCCAAGAAGCACAAGAATCAGAAGCATTTGGGTTAAAGGCATGTAGACATATGGCACACAGTATGAGCTTCCCTGAGCATTTACAGGTTGGTTTTAAGTAAGGACAGCTTACATAATTATGGAAAACCCTGAGTGAGACATTTCTTTTAAATGAATATTATTTTGTTCCAAATGGCAAACAAAATCAATCTAAAGATTATAATGCTACTTTCACTGAAAAATGTCATGTGGCAATAATCATATTAAAAGATCAAAAAGAGGGGCGCCTGGATGGCTTAGTTGGTTAATAAGCATTTGCCTTGGACTCAGGTCACGATCCCAGGGTCCTAGGATTGAGCCCTGAGTTGGGTTCCCTGCTCAGCAGGAAAGCTTCTCCCTCTCCCCCAGCTCATGCTCTGTCTCTTGCTCTCTCACATAATCTTAAAAAAAAAAAAAAAAAAGGCAATGTGAATGAAGAAAGAGCTGTAGACAACTGGCTAGATTTTCAAGTAATGCCAGATGAATTCTTTCATAGGCTGTGTTAATAGCAAAGAATGATAGGTATTGTGGGGTTGCTTTCCAGTTCCATTCCAAATTCCTACAGTTTTAGGTCAGTTAGGGAAGATGGATTTAAATGTGAAAAGTCTTGCTGAAAAACACTCCAGCCCTTTCATAATATCTGTGTATGTAAGTGTAATAAAAGGGGTCACCATGCAATATAAACAGATACTCTTAACAATGGCAGTTAGTCATTGACTCCTCAGTAAATATTAATTCAGGGATGGCTTGCAACTAATTTTTAGCTGAGCTGCACATAAATAAAGGTTGTATGAGGCCATCTGACTGTTCCTACAACACGCCTCTAACTTTGCTACAGCAACAAAACCCCCTAAATATTCCTGACATAGTTTTTAATTCTCCTGGATTATGTTTATTTATTAAAAGATTTTATTTATTCATTCATGAGAGACAAGAGAGAGAGGCAGAGGGAGAAGCAGGCTCTTCACAGGGAGCCCGATGCAGGACTCGATCTCCAGACTGGGATTACGCCCTGAGCCAAAGACAGGTGCTCAACCACTGAGCCACCCAGGTGTCCCTAGATTATGTTTAAATAGGATGTTTTGCTTTTTTATTCTGGGGCCCCTGAAGGTGAAAGGCTAGTGCTGAAAAAAAATACCCCAATCTGTGCTCCTGTGGACAGTTGTGTTCAGATTACCCTTGCAACAATGTGATGGCCCAAGTGACACAGCTCTACAAATCCCATCTGAGAGACTGTCAGAGCATTCAATTTATAGTGTTTGTTGATGTAAGTTTGGATTCTGCACAATGTCTCATTTTAGAGATCTGAGAAAACCTAAGTATCAGGTCATGATGAATTTACCAGCTTTTGCATTCTTACATCAGATTTCATATCACACCTGGTGCTAGCTGGACATATATGGAACACAGTCTCCATTCTTAACTACTTTCCTGAGAGATCCTGTCTTTGTGTGCTTTCAGACTGGGTAGTCCGGAATTTTCCTGGTACAAGAAAAGTTTAAGTATGTCTGAATATTCCAACAAAAAACAAAATCATTTAAATGATTCCACAAACAAAAGAATATTGTGAAAGTGTCCCCCCAACAGCAAGGTAAGAATCACTACCCATCTTCAATATAAGGTAAACTGGAAAACCCGAAGAGGCAATGTGAACAGTAGGTCATCTCTGGGTAGTGGAATGATTTAAATTCCTTCTTTATGAACATCAAATTTTTTATATAGTGAAGATATGCTATTTCAGTTATTTTATTTTTTAAGATTTTATTTTTTAGTAATCTCTGTACCCACCATAGAGCTCAAACTCATGACCCCAACCTCAGAAGCTGCATGTTCTACCAATGGAGCCAGCCAGGCTCCCCTTCAATAATTTAAAAGTAAAAACAAAGGGTGAAAAATCTAAGGGGCTCTGGAGGTATTTTGTGATAAACTCAAGAGGAGATAAAATAAATGTTGAGGATTAGTACCTGATCCTTCTGAATTCTCATTTCATCAACTTCACCTTCAGCATACTGAGGGTCTCTTGCAGGGTCTTTGATATGCTTCAGTGTGTTGGTGCTCTGAAATTATAGTTCAAGTCATTTCATGCCCCACCCCAACCATCTGTGACTACCGTCACCCTCAGCTAGGCTCTCTATGGTCTTCTGAGCTTTTACTGTCACTGCTGAAGCCTCTTTTAAATTCCACCAGGCCCTCTCCTTCCAGCAGCTGTCTCTCACTTCTCCAACAGTCTGGAAGCTAAATTTCAAAGTGGAGCAAAGGCTGTGTCCTGCTCATCTTTTAAACCTCACAGTGCCTCTTGTACAATAGACTTTTGGCATATATTTGATTTTTTAAGATGCCAGTAAAAAAGTCATAATAGGCTCACTGGAACATTTCCTAGTAACTGTTGAATAATGCAAAAAATTCTTGCTTTAAAAGAATTAGAAGTATCTACCTTTGGTGGAAAGACTCTTTCATACACTTTTTTCCACAAATCCATTGGTGAATGAGCGTGAAGCTTTCCAATGTCATTATCAGGAATAGGAGGAGATCCTAAAATGGGAAGTTGTACACCAAATGACTGCACTGGTTAAAACTTGACAAACTGGAAAAAAAAAAAAAAGCTAACCCCCACCCCAAAACAAACAAATAAAAAAACTTGACAAACTATCAATAAAATGGATGGCACTTAGAAAAATACAAATCCTAGATCACTCATTTCCCTTCTCCTTTAATATAGCCACTATTAAAATTTAGTCCAACCCAGTATAGCAAGGCCACAGATTCTAGCACCAGAGGAAGAGGAGACAGAGCAGTTAGTCAGTTGTGATTCTCTTGCCCCATAATTACTCCGCCACCCACTGAAATACCTAGTTTGATATTCTCATGTGTTTATGAGTTTGTATGGAAACACTCATTAGTGCTACTCACCAGAGTGCAAATTGGGACAACTAATTCAGAGGGGGATTTGGCACTACTTCCTACCCTGCAAATATGGAAAAAGGTTAAATGCTACTACCCAGAAATCCTAGTTTTTGGTATTTAACCTAGAAACACCTGTACACAAGTATTAATGGTTTCACACTGCAGCATCATTTGTATAAGTGAAAAATTGGCCAAGCTAAACTGTCCATCAATAAAGGTATAGTGAACTAAGTTACTTTGCATTTTCACGCTCTAACCACACAGCAGTCAAAATACCAAATAGATCTAGCTACTGCATTAATATGGAAAAACCACTAAGACATACTGAGTAGAAACAAACTTTCAAAATGATAGCTATAGAATGATAGAATTATGTTCGAACAAATAAGTTTTTTTCTTCTTTTTTCAAGATTTTATTTATTTATGAGAGAGACAGAGAGAGGCAGACACAGGCAGAGGGAGAAGCAGGCTCCATGCAGGGAGCCTGATGTGGGACTCGATCCCAGGAATCCAGGATCACACCCTGGGCTGAAGGCAGGCGCTCAACCGCTGAGCCACCCAGGGATCCCTAACAAGTAGTTTTTTCTATATCACATTCACATATATAGAAAATAATCCAGAAGTATACATATCAAACTTGATCCTTACATGTACTATTTTAACATTTTATAATGAGAATGTCTTGTGTACTGATTGTATAATTTGAAAATTTGAAAAAATGCTGACTTCTTGGCAATTGTCAGTCTATAATCTTAGATTTCTCATTCTTTCTATTCTAGCATCTACCCTGTTGATCTTTCAGGACCTCCTTACTACTTTGGTGTGAAAGACAGTGATACAAACCACCAATCAATTTCAGTTTTCCCAAGTTTTTTACTTGTCCTTATTTGTGTGTATGTGTGTGTGTGTGTATTAAGTTCTATACAATTGTGTCATCTTTGTAGATAAATGTATCCACTACCAAAATCAAGACACTACACAATGCCATCCCTTGTGTTGCCCTTTTATACCCACACCACCCCCTTCTCCAATCTCTTATCTCCCCACCTACGATCCTGTTTCTAACTTCTTACAACCATTCATCTTTCCTCTATTTCTAAAATGTTTTCATCACAAAATTTTTGCACACGTAGAATCATATTGTATATAACATTTACTGACTGTCTTTTTTTCATTCAGTACGATTCTCTGGTGATTCATGCAAGTTACTGTATCAATAACTTGTTCCTTTTTATTGCAGAGTAGTAATCTATGGTATGGAGTACCATACCATAGCACAGGTTTAAATAACATCTGGTTGTTACTAGTTTGGGACTATTACAGATGAAGCCACCATGAACATTTGTGTATGGATTTTTATGTGAACATAAGTTTTAATTTTTCTAAGATAAATGCCAAGTAATGTAATTTCTAGCTCATACGGTCGGTACACGTTTAGTTTTATAAGAAACTGAACTTTTTTTTTAATTTTTTTTTTTTTTAATTTATGATAGGCACACAGTGAGAGAGAGAGAGGCAGAGACACAGGCAGAGGGAGAAGCAGGCTCCATACACCGGGAGCCCGACATGGGACTCGATCCCGGGTCTCCAGGATCGTGCCCTGGGCCAAAGGCAGGCGCCAAACCGCTGCGCCACCCAGGGATCCCGAAACTGAACTGTCTTGAAGAGTGGTTGTATCATTCTACATTCCCACCAGCCATGTATGAATATCCAGTTTCTCCATTCTTGCCAGCATTTGGTGTTATCATTTTTTGTTAGCTATTCTTATGAGCACATTGTGGTTTCAATTTGCATTTTCCTAATAATTAAAGATATTAAATATCTTTTCATGTACTTATTTGCCATTTGTATATCCTCTTTGGTGATATGTCTGCTCATGTCTTTTGCCTGTTTTCTAACTGGATTTTGTTTTTACTGTTAAGTTCTTTATATACCCTAGATAATAAATCCTTTGTCAGATATGTAGTTGAAAATCTTTTCTCTCAGAATGTAGCATGTCTTTTATCCTTTTCAAATGGACTTTCAAGAACAAAAGTCTTTAATTTTGATGAGGTCTAAGCTCCATGATATTTAAATTTAGTAATTCTCATTTCTTTTTTGACCTCCAACTACTTATAGGGGCATTATCTATTGGTACACACAGTGATTCTCACTGCTAATGAAAGTAAGTCATGGGCAGCCCTGGTGGCGCAGCGGTTTGGCGCTGCCTGCAGCCTGGGGTGTGATCCTGGAGACCCGGGATTGAGTCCCACATCGGGCTCCCTGCATGGAGCCTACTTCTCCCTCTGCCTGTGTCTCTGCCTCTCTGTGTGTCTATGAGTAAACAAATAAAATCTTTAAAAAAGGGATCCCTGGGTGGCGCAGCGGTTTGGCGCCTGCCTTTGGCCCAGGGCGCGATCCTGGAGACCCGGGATCGAATCCCACGTCAGGCTCCTGGTGCATGGAGCCTGCTTCTCCCTCTGCCTGTGTCTCTGCGCCTCTCTCTCTCTCTGTGTGTGTGACTATCATAAATAAATAAAAAAAATTAAAAAAAAAATCTTTAAAAAAAAAAGTCAGTATTAATTATAAAGATTGTTTTAATATTTAATCATGAGAGACACAGAGAGAGAATCAGAGACATAGGCAGAGGGAGAGTCAAGCTCCCTGTGGGGGAGCCTGATGTGGGACTCGATCCCAGGACCCTGGGATCACGACCTGAACCAAAGGCAGACGCTTAACCACTGAGCCACCCAGGTATCCGCCCCCACTTTTTAAAAAGATTTTAAGTATTTATTTAGGTATTAATAATAATTAGGAAAATCAGCCTTTGTGATCACTCATTAACCACCTCTATTCTTTTCATTCCAGTTCAGTCTATAATCTAATTACAAAGATCTATATTTGAAGTCAACTTTAGTGTGTAAGGGTAATGATGGATGGGAAATAAAAAGCTACCATCTGCTAGAGTGTTAAAACCAAACTATGTCAGCCCCTGAGTAGAAAGAGTTGCTAGGCCCAAACCTCCACAGGGAAAGTAGTTTCTGTGGGAAGATAAGGAGCTTGATTATATAAACTCTTAAAATTCTTTTTGCTTCATGAACCTAAAATGTCCATAAGTTTAAGAAATACATCTCATATCTGAAGCAAGCTATTTTATAATGAAGAATTAAAGCATAAAATAATTAGTACAACTATTGTCTTTTAGTTTATTCCATCACTTGAATCTCTATTTTTCATCACTGCCCATAATATATAGCTTTCAATTTCCTCACTATTCTGTGCTTCTGGTTTTCTTCTAGACCCAATGAGCTAAAATTTAAAAGTACCTGGAAATCAGTGAGGGAAAGGAAATTTTTTAGTAAAACAGAAATCTGAAATCAGTCTCTTATATGGCGACATTCCTTCCATCACAAATATGTCAATGTGATGTATGTTGCATCAATACTGTGTATACAAATAAATACATGAGAAATAACAGTGATGATAATGAAATCAGAAATGGTGGTATGTTGGAGATGAAGTGAACATGGGGTAGGATAAAATCAATAAGCAATTAAAAAATGATTGAACAATCTTAATAAGTTCACCCACCTATTTGACTTAAAGAATCCAATCCTGCTGTGATAAACAGTGGTTTATTCTGATCCACACATATTGATTTGCTACATGGATAAGAAGAAAAGAGTCTAATTTAGTTTAGTAGTCGAATATCCTGCTCTACTGTAAATAGAAGAACCAAGTTTTATACCTAGCCATTGGTGAGAGAGCACTGCCCTCAAATGAATGAGTGAATATTTAGGTGGTTTCAAAAATTAAAGACTGTCATTAATAAAGTTTTATAAGGAAAAAGGTGACAGACCCAAATTACCTTAAGTGAAAGCCAAGAAAAGTAGAAGGTTAAAAAAAATACACAAACTACAATTATCAATTCAATTTCTAATATAAGAAAATGATAATATAGGGAAAGCTACTAAAATGAGAGAAGTCAAAGAAATCAGTGAAATAAATGTAACAGTATCATTATTTTATTCTAGTCTCTATTATGTAACATTTTTGTTAGGAAATGAGAAATACTTAAGCAATACAAGAAACAGGAAATAATATGAAATTATTTCTCTAAGAATAGCCATCCGGGGATACTTTCTTAGAAGAAATAATGAGATGAGAACAATAATCAGTTGAGATTATTGGCAAAAATAAAATAAGATAAAAAGATACAAAAATATATTTTAATAGTACCTTTTGTCAATGCCAAATGCTAACTGGTTGATAACTCCACGTACTTTTAGTAATAGAGCTTCTGATTTACTGGTAAACTAAAAAAAAAAAAAATCGGGAATAAATTATATGCTCTGCTTCCAAATAGAAACAGGTAAAATAAAAATGGCTTTGAACAAGTACAAAATGCGGACAGAATTATTTGCCCAACACACACTTGTGTTTGAGCAGACAAAAAATCTGAAGGAAAATAAATCTCAATAAATTTGTTTCAGCTCGTTCTTTTTTTTTTAATTTTTAAAATTTTTATTTATTTATGATAGTCACAGAGAGAGAGAGAGAGAGAGAGAGAGAGAGAGAGAGAGAGAGGCGCAGAGACATAGGCAGAGGGAGAAGCAGGCTCCATGCACCGGGAGCCCGATGTGGGATTCGATCCTGGGTCTCCAGGATCGCGCCCTGGGCCAAAGGCAGGCGCCAAACCGCTGCGCCACCCAGGGATCCCTCAGCTCGTTCTTCTAACTTCATGAGTGCACGATATCAAAGGGACTTGTGTTTATGCACTTGTCGTTCACCACACCCACATATGGATTATAACTATGTCCCAAATGCAGTCTGGCTGGTAGAAAGTGGGAGGTATATATCATAAATAACTTTTCCATCCATGGGCATATTACTGTCTTCCAAAAAGCTAACATGGAAGCTACAGACTGGTCTGACAATAGTGATACTCATTAAAAAGATCTTTTAACTTCCCTTCAGAATTGCCTTTGAGCTTGCAAAGAACATCCTCAGAAGTGGTATATAACAAGGGTGACCAGAACCAGAACACTTTAGAGAATGAAAGGGGGTGGGTACTATCAATAAATAAGAAATTAAGCTGAGACATCAGGAGAACATCAGGACATGTGGTTACCTTACAAATCTTTTAAGACTAGATTTGATTTTTTGGAAATACCAAAAGTTACTCAACCAAATCAGAATGGCTAAGATGGATGAAAGTAGGAAAAACAACCTTGAGCCAAAATGAAATGTACTTCTATAAGGCAAAGAAATCAATTTTCAGGATAAGATTCATTCTGAATTAAGAACAGGCTCCCATTGGGGGGCCCTGGTGGCTCAGCGGTTTTGTGCTGCCTTCAGCCCAGGGCCTGATCCTGGAGTCCTGGGATCGAGTTCCATGTCAGGCTCCCGGCATGGAGCCTGCTCCTCCCTCTGCCTGTGTCTCTCTGCCTCTCTCTCTCTCTCTCTCTCTCTGTCTCTCATAAACAAACAAATAAATAAAATCTTAAAAAAAAAAAAAACAGGCTCCCAGGCAAAATCTTGACTCACATGAATATATAAAATTTAATACAGTGACTTTTCAAAATTGAAACAATTTTAACATTTCTTTTGAAGAAGTTTAAAACTATAAAAAACTAATTGAATTTTTAAAACACAATTTATTATTATTATGTTCCTATTTATGTTCCCTATGTGGAAAGGAAAATACCTTATCACAAAAGTATTTCATAGAAGGGCTGGGAGGACGTGAGAAGTTTTCTGACTCAACCCCCCCATCTGTTGCATCAATTGCCTTGAAACATCCTCCAAAAATTGCTGTAGAGATTCTGTTTGCATTAATTTAGTAGGAACTCAAAATCTCCAAAAGTAACCCATTCCATTTTCAGATAATGGTAATATTAGAAAGTTCTTATTTTGAGCTAAACTCTGCTCTGATTCCTTGTTCTTGACTTTAAGAGAGCAAAGAATATATCTAATCCCTTTTCCATGGAACAGTCCTTTGAATATTTAAAGAGCATTATCACATTCTAGATAATAGAACATAATTTTATACTCCTTCTCATGTATCATATTTTTAAGCCTCATACCATCCTGACAGCTCTCCACTGAATCTGGTCCTACTCATCAATGTTTTTCTATTTTTATTAACTTTATTAGATTGCTTGTAATAGTGAATCCGCTTTCTTGACTGAATTATAAAGGATCAACTAAAGGGGTAAAAGAAAACTGCTGAGCATCCAGCAATCTTCTCAAGCAGTCCCATACTGTCTCCTTTGGGGGTGGGGGATGGGGAAGAGTGGAAGTGAAATGGAAAGACAGGGCTTTGTAACTTTGGCTACTCTCTTCTTGGTCCGAGAAGCTAAACAAGCTTTATGGTTCTCCTGGCAGTCCAGAAGGGCTCCTCTAATCCAAGTCTCATCTTCTGGCTTGCTGAAAGCTGATATGAGACCATTCTTAAACCCATTCCCTAGAAGATCCTGATCTTATAGGACCTTCTAGACCTGCTGGGGCCTACAGTGATCTGACTTCATCTAAATTTGTACACATAACACCAGATTAGATCCTGATCAAACGTGATCTGTTCCTAAAGAAAGAGATTTCCCTCAGCTAACTAAACAGAACTAACTGTGGGGCTTTATCTTGTGTAAAAATAAACTATAAGATCCATGGTCTTTGCTTTTGTATCCTGGATGAGCCATTCATTTTAAACTCCCCATATCGTTTTGAAATAGTAAAAAAAGAATATTTCCAAAGCACTCTGTCAATTTCATATGTAAGCGGATATAGTATAAACATAAAACATTCTGATTTTTAGGGAAATACACAATGCATTTATTTGGAGTATTCTGAAAAGTATAAAAAATTTAAACATAGATCATATTATCACTTTGTCATAATATATTACCCATGAAGGCCAGCGACTAGACTGTTAACTCCCTCCAACTTCCTCAGCACTTCCATGTAGCAGGAAAAAGAAACCATTCAAATGGGAAGATATTATTTCTTTTATTATTTCATCACACATCTGGTAAATGGCTATCCTGAGATTCAAACAGAGGCAACAGGACTCCCAATTTCATGGTTTTAACCCCTACGACAATATTGTTGTTGTTTTAAGTTTTAAAAAGAACATAGAGGGATGCCGGGATGGCTCAGTGTGTGATCCTGGGGTCCTGGGACTGAGTACCGCATCGGGCTTCCCACAGGGAGCCTGCTGCTCCCACTGCCTACATCTCTCTCTCTCTCTTGAATAAAAAAATACAATCTTTAAAAAAAAAATTTAAAAACATAGGTTTTTTTTTTTCTTCTTTTCCGTTAAGACCGATTCTAATTTTTAAGGGGAAACTAAAAATGAATAAATGTCCTTAAAAAGATTTATTTATTTGAGAGAAAAAGTGAGTGTGCACAAGTAGGGGGAGGGCAGAAGGAGAAGCAGACTCTCCACTGAGCAGAGAGCCCGACATGGGGCTTGATCGCAGGACCCTGGGACCATGATCCAAGCCGAAAGCAGATGCTTAGCTGACTGAGCCACCCAGGTACCCCTAAAAATGAATAAATTAATAGCCAGTTTATCTGTTTAAGACTGATTAGGGTTTGGGGCACCTTGGTTTCAGCTAAGGTTGTGATCTCAAGGTTGTGAGATTGAGAATCTGTGCTCTGTGGGGAGTCTGCTTGAGATTCTTTCTCCCTCTCCCATTGCCCCTCCCCCCACTCATACACACCTGCTCTCTCTAAAAAAAATTAAAAAGAGAGAGACTGGGGTTTATGAGCATAAGCAATTGATCTGAAGACCCGGTAGGCCATCTAGCAGAGTATGTTCTAGAAATATTGGGACACCTGGGTGGCTCAGCGGTTGAGCGTCTGCCTTCTGCTCAGGGTGTGATTCCTGGTCTGGGGATGGAATCCACATCAGTCTCCCCATGGGGAGCCTGCTTCTCCCTCTGCCTATGTCTCTGACTCTCTGTGTCACTCATGAATAAATAAATAAAAAATCTTAAAAAAAAAAAAATCAAACACTCTGTAATGAGGATTTGGGGGCAGTGGGAAAGGAAAGAAGGGGATTATGTACACTAGTAGAAGCATTAGTATTTATAATCATGCATCAAGTTGCTTATCTTTCTAAGTTTGGTGCTGTCCACTCAAGCCAAAGGATAGGAAATGTACGAACCATTAATGATGCTCCATAATAATGTGCAACAAATCGAAGTGTCTTGCATATAACCTTTCTCTTCTCAGAGTCAAAATCCTGAAGAAATACATTATTAAAAAGAAAAAAGTTGAGAAAATTAAATATCAGTAGTGGGAAGGTGCAAATTACTAAGTGCAGAAATACATAATTTGTTTTTTGTTTTTGTTTTTTTGGAACATACCCTGAGGAGTAGGATTCCATTACCTTGATACTTTTTCTATAGAGAATTGAATAGTAGCTGCAGCCTTCTAGAACTACAGCTATCAGATCTTTCCTTGTTTAAACACTTAGCTCAATAGAATTTAGATATGAGCACACATTTTATAGTGTGGAATACCCTAGGGATTCTCTGACAAGCAAAGATAAGAAACCAATTTTCTACTTTCTTCAATTTAAAAGTTGGGAAGTCAGTCCTATCCCTCAGTGACTGGGTGAAAGATTTCAGTTTCTCAAGCTATCTTATCCCCATTCTACTGCCTTATCCCCATTCTACTGTATGTATTGTTCTTTACATATTTTCTCTTTCCCCACTATGTCGTCTTTTCCAAAATCTTTAAGATGTGTGACTCCTTGACCTCTCCCTCCTAGAGTCCTTTCTCTCACTTCACTATTATTTTTGTTCTCCCATAAAGCCTGAGTATAAACAACCGTTTTAACTAGAAGTGGAAAAGCTTACCTGAAAAATATCGTATTTACTTCCAATTATGACCAGAGGTATTAGAAATGGGTCAACTAATTCACGGTCCTGTTAACAAATACATTTCATTGATTTATTATAATTGTTTGTACTATGTATTTAGCAAATTCTATTGACTTCCAAAAATATACCATTTTAGTCTTTTCATAGATGCTGACTTCGTTTGCTTGACCAAGAGTTTGTCCTAATATTTAACTTTGACTTAACCTAAGTTATATTTCTCAAGTATAAAACTAGAAATAGCAGTTCCCTAAATTACCATACTTATTTGTCACGTTCTATCCTATTTTCTTAAATAACATGTCATCTGCCTGTTTTGTTTTTCACTGGTATTATCTTTTGTTGCAATAGCATTTACACTGCATAGTTGTGAACCATAAGCTATCAGTTTCCTCCTGATATTCCCTTATGTAAAACACATTTGTATAAACCCTGGGCAATATAAAATATTGCTATAGGTTTTCTAGAAAATGATACTCATGATTGTATTTAAAGAACTTGTGGGGATCCCTGGGTGGTGCAGTGGTTTAGCGCCTGCCTTTGACCCGGGGCGCGATCCTGGAGACCCGGGATCAAATCCCACGTCGGGCTCCCTGCGTGGAGCCTGCTTCTCTCTCTGCCTGTGTCTCTGCCTCTCTCTCTCTGTGTGACTATCATGAATAAATAAATAAAATCTTTAAAAAAAAAAAAAAAGAACTTGTGTTACCATCAATACTTTATAATTTAATTAGTTGTCAGATAATCAAAAGATATCAAATATGTGACAGATACTAAATGAATGTAAAATACAGAGTGGCAATGAAGGCTGTGAAAACTACTCATTGTTTACACTTGTAGCTTCATCTGGTCTTTGCCAGATGACTTTTGTACAGTCTGCTTTTTTATCTTCGTTTTACAGAGATTATAAAATCAATATCAAACTACTACTTCAAAATTCTGTTTCTTTTGATTGGTATCCTATGCCATAACAATCACAGTGGATGTCTAACAAGACATGAGAAATCCTTTCCCTAGTTTTGCTCTCACTGAGGTTTTATTAAATTGCTGTAATTTTCCAGTGAACAAGTTCATCTACATCGAATGAATTTCAAATCATGCATAAAAATTTAAGGAAGTTGTTTGTGATGTTATCTTTGACTACGTATGGGGCTACGGATTCTGGGAATAATCCCAACAGCAACTCACTGGATGGTCCTTCTGCATATTACTCCAGATCTTCTGTCTCATTTCAGAAACTGCTTTAGAATTTGTCTTCCCCAGTTTCATTATCATTTTGTCTACATGGCTTTTTGTGGCTTGTAACAGATTTTCCATAGTGGGCCAAAGGTCATTAGGTTTTGAAAGATCCAAAACAAGAACAATAGAAAATGTCCTAAAAAAATAAAAATATCTCTTTAAAAAAACTCAAAATAATTAGTTTTGAAACCTTATTTTTTTTATTTTTTTGAAACCTTATTAAACTGAAATTTATTAGCTAAAAAGTAACACTACAGCTTATAAAACATAGCAGTATTCTAATAAAACACCCCACCACCACCAAAGTTATGGCCTTATTTATTCCAGTGCTTTTCTCTAGTGATATTTAAGTATTACAACCAACTGTGGCACTGAAGGTTTTATTTGCACTAATAATAATCCAATTCAAATAATCTGCAAGAACGGGATCCAACAATGTGATGATTGGATCCAATTTTACTGTGTCCTCCAGAGAAGGGAAGCGAAAATAATAGAGCACAGCAACAACACAAACAACACAACAATTAGGTGAACGAGAACGGATGTATCGATGGCCCCAGCCAGGGGACTACCTCATGTATTTAATCTTCACAACAATCCTTCCTAGAAGATGTTATGATGTCTGTTTTATGGATTAGAAATCTGAGGCACACGTTTATATAACTAGTGAATTCTAGAGTTGTAGATCCAAAGCTGCGCGTCTTTATACTCTAACATGGGGCCTCTCTGAAAGCGCACCCTTGACCACCACACCCACCACTGCCATCGCAGTACAAGTACAAGTGAACGTGTACTGGTGTTCATGTAAGTCAAACATGAATCAAACTCAGCAACAACAAATTGATTCAAAAATGGGCAAAGGGGACCCCTGGGTGGCTCAACAGTTGAGCATCTGCCTTTGGCTCAGGGCGTGATCCCGGAGTCCTGGGATCGAGTCCTGCATCGGGCTCCCTGCGTAGAGCCTGCTTATGTCTCTGCCTCTCTCTCTCTCTGTCTCTCATGAATAAATAAATAAAATCTTTAAAAAAATGGGCAAAGGACTCAAACACCTTTCTTCTTTCTCCAACGAAGATATACAGATAGCCATTAACATATGAAAATATGCCCAATGTCCAATAGCCTAATCATTACAGAAATGGAAATCAAAACCACAATGAGATGTCACTTCATTAGGATAGCTCTGATAAAACAAAAATAGAATCAATACACCAGTAACAAGTGTTGGTAAGGAAACAGAGAAATTGGAACCCTTGGCATTATTGGTGGGAATGTAAAATTCCTACTGTGTTAAACAGTATGCTGGTTCCTCAAAAAATTTTTTAAAAATTTAAAAGATTTCATTTATTCATGAGACAGAGAGAGGGGCAAAGACACAGGCACAGAGGGAGAAGCAGGCTCCTGATACGGAACTCGATCTCAAGACTCTGGGATCATGCCCTGAGCTGAAGGCAGAGGCTCAACTGCTAAGCCACCCAGGCATCCCCTCTATTTAATTTTTTGAGGAACAAGGGACACCTGGGTGGCTCACTGGTTGAGCCTCTGCCTTCAGCTCAGGGTGTGATCCCAGATCTGGGGATCGAGTCCCACATCAGGCTTCCTGCGTGGAGGCTGCTTCTTCCTCTGTGTCTCTGCCTCTCTCTGTGTGTCTCTCATGAATAAGTAAAATCTTAAAAAAAAAAATTTAAACGGAATTACCATATGACCCAGTACTCCCACTTGCGAGAGTATCTGAAATCGGGACTCGAACACATATCTGTACACCAGTGATCACAGCAGTACTATTCACAAGTGCCGAAAGGTGGAAATGACCCAAATATCCAACCATGGATGAAGGCATCAACAAAATGTGGTATATGCCGAAAGGTGGAAATGACCCAAATATCCACAAGTGCCGAAAGGTGGAAATGACCCAAATATCCAACCATGGATGAAGGCATCAACAAAATGTAGTATATGCACACAGTAGAATATCAATGGGATATTCTTATAAAGGAAGGAAATTCTGACACTTGCTACAACATGAGTGAACCTTGAAGGTATTCTGCAAAGTGAAAGACGTCAGACTCCTAGGACAAGACTCCCCAGAGGCATCAGATTCATAGAGACAGCAAGTATAAAGGTGGTTGCCAAGGGCTGGGGAAGGAGACTGTAGAGAGTCAGTGTTTCCTGGGGACAGTTTCAGTTGGGGAGGATGAAAAAATTCTGGAGAAGGATGGTGGTGATGGTTGCCCAACAATGAAATTATGCATAATGCCACCAAACTGTACAATTAAAAATGACTAATGTGATAAAATGTGAGGACATTTTATCAAAACAAAACAAAACAAAACTAGGAGTATTTCAGAAAATGGTCATAAGTAAGGACAGCCATAATCACAGGCCAATATATCCCTGATCAACAGGGCAAACATTCTGCTAGTATAGTGAGGAATTACAATAACACATTAGTTATTTCATAATACTGTCAGTTATTTTGCTTAGTTTGAGCAAACCAGCTATTTTGTATAATTCATATGAAACAGTAACTAAATTCTATACTACAGGTCTAACTTCAGAAAATATTCTTTTAGACAGTAACTATTGAGATTTTCTATAAAATTAGTATGCCATTAAATTGTATAGCCAATCAGATCTACATCATTTTAATAAACTGCTAACAGCTTTGCTTGACTATAATAAATAATATATACATTTATAATAGTAAGGAAGTCTAGTATGGTTAATGTTTAAAAATTGTTGACCATGGTTTCACTATTTTTACTGTGGTAAAATGTATCTAACAAAAAATTGATCATTTTCCAAATGAAAATAACTGTAAGTGCAAACAAAACAGAGGGGTGCCTGGGTGGCTCAGTTAAGCATCTGTCTTTGGCTCAAGTCATGATTTCAGGGTCCGGGGATCAAACCCCCATGTCTGGCTCCCTGCTCAGCAGGGAGCCTGCTTCTCCCTCTCCCTCTGCTGCTCCCCCTTCTTGTGCTCTGTCAAATAAACAGATAAATAAATAAATAAGTAAATAAATTCATTCTTAAACAAACAAACCAGTAATATTCAAGCTTTTTCCAAGATTAAAATTTGTGTTTCCATTGCACTGGAAACACTTGTTACTTTTACCTTCATAACAAATGAGAGCCAAAAAGAATTTTTTTTAAAAAAGATGTTATTTATTCATGAAAGACAGAGGGAGAGAGAGAGCCAGAGACACAGGCAGAGAGAGAAGCAGGCTCCATGCAGCGAGCCCGATACAGGACTAGATCCCGGGATCCCAGGATCAGGCCCTGGGCCAAAGGCAGGCGCCAAACCGCTGAGCCACCCAGGGATCCCCAGAATTGTTTTTATTTGAGTATAGCTGACACAGAATGTCACAGTTTCAGATGTACAACTTAGTGATTGACGAGTTTACACATGACGCTGTGCTCATCAGTGTCGCTCCCGTCTGTCCCATTACACTGCTACTATGATATCATCAACTGCATTCCTTATGCTGTGACTTTTATTCCCGTGACTTACTCATTCTGTAACTGGAAGCCTGAATCTCCCACTCCCCTTCACCCATTGTACCCCTCCCTCCACCCACCTAGCTCTGGCAACTATCAGTCTGTTCTGTTTTTATAGATCTGATTCTGCTTTTTGTTTATTCTTTTTTTTTTTTTTAGATTCCATTTATGAGTGGAATCCTGCAGTATTTGTTTTTCGTAGTCTGACTTATTTCACTTAGCATAGAATCCTGTAGGTCCAACCACATTGTCTCAAATACCACAATCTCATCCTTAAAAAACATTTTTTTAAAAAAACCCAACCACCTCTTTAAACAGGGAATGAAAGCACAGGAAATGCTCCATTACAGATTATCTAAAGTTTGTTCACTGCATTTATAATTACTCTATGAACAGTCATCTTAAAGATAAACAGTATCTAACAGCATTTAGCAGTATTATTTTTTCAAGTTTTGGGCTTTGTCCAATATAAGGAAATTAATTATGTATCAAATTGATCCAAGTCACAGAACACTCGGAGATTTGTGACCGTATTAGGAGTGAAATGTTTATCATGAATTCCTTAACCACTCAGCAACCTACTCTGAATGCAGGCCTCCAGCTCCCCTTCCGTTGTTCATCATAACCCTGACCTCCCCTCTCTCCTCAAGCAAAACACAGCTGCCCTGGGCTTCTAGGGAACGAAGACTCACAGAGAGAGGCATTAAAGAAGCTGTGGAAAAATGTGGCTTCCTGCAGAAACCAGAATTTCGACAAGGTCATCAGGCCCAAAGCCTGTTGGGCCAGAGGAGGGCAGTGAGATCACTTGACAAGGTGATGTGACAAGGTGATTTGACAGGGCCACAACAGGAATCAGCTTCCGACCCAGGTAAGAGCAGTTCCCAGCCATTTTCACTCCTTTTGGCCTCAGGCCACACTGTCTGGCAGCTCTGGTTCCTCAGCTACTCCCTGTCCTTGCCCTCTCTTGCCCATACCACCAGGAGTGGCCTTAATTCCCAGGTGGCCTCTATGATTTGTCTCTTTTAAAGAAGGACAAATGAAATACCAAATAACTCTAAAATCCATGTTGCTGAAAAATTATGTCAGGGGAAAATAGTGGTTATACATGCAAAAGCAAGATCTAAACATACATAGAAAAAAATTCCACTGTACAAGTATATTTACAAATGCTGAGAACACTGAAAGAAATATGTTGGCATGTTAACAGGGGTTATTTTTCAGGTGATTACGGGCGCTCTTACTTTCTTCATACCCTTCAATTTTTTTCCAAGATCTCTACATGAGCATAAACTATTTTTATAATAAGTAAAAGACAGTAAATTAAATTTCTTTAAAAGAAAAAATATCACTAGCCAGATAAAGCCAATGCTATCTGTATCTAGCTAGCTTACAGAAAAACAATCGTTCTGTTAACCAGAAATAATCCCATACCCTAAAGATCTTAATGGCTGAAATGTAACAAATAATTGTCAAGCCCTTTGTATTTGGTCCAGGCTGCAGCAATGGTTTGGGTTAAACTCTGACAGGAGTAAAATATTTCAGATGTAAAAATGCGTGTTTTCCTTGGCTAAGACACATTCCCAGGAACATTGTGAGAAATGTCACAATTTTCCACATCTGATTTGGCCAACATGTGGGAGTCATTGTCAGGAAACGCAACCAAAGAGTTTGAGGTTTTCCTCAAGTTTCTATTTCTTAAGGTCAGCAAATAGACTTTCTCCCTCCTCTAAACTCACTATTCCCTTGGGTGAAGCTTCTATGGTACTAATTAGCATTTAGTTCAAAGGTAGACTTAAATATCCAGTTGAAGAAAAAGCTCAGGGCTGAATTAGCCCATATTCAAAAGAATTAAGCTTTTCAAATTGCTGTTTGCCAAGTGAATTCTTCGCTCAAGTGTTATTTGACGTATTTTGTTTGTTTGCAGCTTTGCAAAATATGTGACCAGTTGGAATGCCAGCTGTCAGCACAGGACAAACCCTGGTTCTTTTAAAATCTCTTGAAAGCATTACACTTTAAGCGCAGAGAAAGGCAGAGAATGTAACCCTTCAGCAACATAAAACTGCCCCCACCCCTGTCCAAATTCTGATCCCCAAAAGCCCACTCATATTCATCCTGTGGACACTACTGGGTCCTCACTAACAACTGTTCCTGGGGCACCTGAGTGGCTCTGGCGGTTAAGCGTCTGCCTTCACAGCTCAGGTCATGATCCCAGGGTCTTGGGATGGAGCCCCGTATTGGGCTCCCTGCTCAGCGGGGAGTCTGCTTCTCCCCAATCCCTCTGCCTCCCACTCATGTGCACACATGTGTGCTCTAATAAATAAATAAAATCTTAAAAAAAAATTAAGAAACCCCAACCGTTCCTGGATCCAGCTCACTTACCTTAAGTTGTCACTTGTGATTGGTATGCTGATTAAGTCCAATAAAGAGGTTCCTCCACCCAGTTCCCAAAAGTGAGCAATATCTTTTGGCTGAAAAAACAAATGTTTTTCGTATTTAAATTTTTTAAAAATTAAGTAATGAATACCTCATTAGCATCAGCCGGTAATAATTATGGATACAAAAGTATAGTCCTCACTGAACCTTTTCTTGGCAGTCAAAACTTGCCTCTTTCTCTATCCCATCCCTCAAAATGCACCAAAACCTCTATTCCAAAAAACAAAGATGAAACATTAACATGGTAGGTGGGGAACAAGAAGAGTTTGAACAACTGATTCCCTTTTTTTTTTTTTTTTTAATTTTTATTTATTTATGATAGTCACAGAGAGAGAGAGGGGCAGAGACACAGGCAGAGGGAGAAGCAGGCTCCATGCACCGGGAGCCCGACGTGGGACTCGATCCCGGGTCTCCAGGATCGTGCCCTGGGCCAAAGGCAGGCGCCAAACCACTGCGCCACCCAGGGATCCCAACTGATTCCCTTTTTATAGGATGCCTAAGCATTGGGGGTTGTAAGAGAAAGGCAGCCATGTGGGAATAAGAGCAGGTGTTCCTCGACAACTTTCTTCCACTGCTAGCTCATGGCTTCTCTGCTTCCACCCTGCTGCTGAGGAGCCCTCAGGATACCACAACTGTGTGAGGAGTGGACACAGTGCTTCCATTTAGAACTCTTAGGGAACACTAAATCTGAGAAAGACATAAATCTTCCAGAATGAATATGGAAAAAGCCCAACTTGCCAATACAAAGTTTAGGGAAAAAAATATTTTTTTGACAAATTATCGTCTCATAATCACGAAGACTGTTTTGCTGTTGCTATTTGAATATTTGCTGTTGATATTTAAATCAGTAATGTTTATAGGGGCGGGGAATAATTTTTCCCTGGAAAATCTCCCTGAGTCACAATTTGACGAAGGGGAGTTTTTAGAGCTCTTCTCAAAAGTGAAGCTCTGAAAGCTGTTTCAAAGTTTCCAGTGAAAAGGATAATCCCATTTCTACATCACCACTCATATCAAAATTCATGTGAGTCACAAAAGTAAAGTTCTTCTGCATCTCACTATGTTATTTCTTTTTAATCTCACAATTTTAATAATCAACTTTCATTGGTGAATCTAGTAACAGGCAGTTTTAACTCTTACACATTGTCTAATGATCAAACATTTGGACTAGATCAACCTGTAAAATGTTGCCTGTGTTAGGGGAGAAAGGGGCCTTCTATTATAAATTGTTCTTCCATAAACCTAACTCTCCTTAAGAAATGAACTATTTTCATGTAAGAACTCCAAATGAGGATTCTATTTCAGATTGTTTTTATCCTTCTAACATATGCCATAAACTCTCCTTCTATCCTGAATAATCTCCAACTTTCCTTTGAACAGACACTCAAGTGAAAATTGGATTATAACCAATTATGGCCTCTGGTCTCAAATACTGGTATTACTAACTTCAAGATATATTTATAAAAATGCTAATAATTTGGATTTTGAGTAGTATATTTTCAAAAATATCCTAAAGGTTAACTCATATTTTTAGCAGATTTTTGGGGGAGATAGGATGTAACAATACTATTCCCACCTACAAGAAGAGAAAGTCACATTAACACAATTAATATAAATATTTCCAAGAACTGTACAAAAAATTTACAAAGGAACCTTATTCCAGCATTTTAAGGCACAACTAAGAAGGCTAAATTATTTTCTGTTTGGGTTGGCTTCATGTCTCTCTGAGGTGCATTTGAAGTTTAAAACCACAGAGCTGGGATCCCTGGGTGGTGCAGCGGTTTGGCGCCTGCCTTTGGCCGAGGGTGCGATCCTGGAGACCCGGGATCGAATCCCACATCGGGCTCCCGGTGCATGGAGCCTGCTTCTCCATCTGCCTGTGTCTCTGCCTCTCTCTCTTTCTCTCTCTGTGACTATCATAAATAAATAAAAATTTAAAAAAAATTTAAAAAATAAAATAAAATAAAAAAATAAAACCACAGCTATGCAGTGTACAACTGGGTATGTTTACTGATAAGATGAAAATATAAAACAAAGTCAACATTATTACTTTTCCATCCACAAGCATAGCAATATCACTTAAAAAGACACTCACTATATTATGCCCTTTCGCTCTTCTTCCATATGTATATTCCAAAGCTAAGGTTGGTTTTGGTGGCTCATCCCTGCACAATAAAGAGAGACAGTATTACCCTCCTGGGTTTTCTTATGCTATCATATTACCCAATTCATTTCTTCTTCCTCTTAAAAACTTGTTCTATTAATAGAGACGTTACTTTGTGGAATAGCAGTATAGTAAACATGATAAAAATCTTATGTAAAAAATAAATAAGCCTTCGCAAACCACCTTCAAGGGCTATTTAGTCACAGCTGGAGAGGAATAGTGGCACCTGCGTGATGTGGCAACCCTTACAGGCACTGCTGGCGCCAGTGGAGGAGGCGGTGTGGCTGCCAGTGGTGGTGGCCATGTTGGGCGACAGCTCTGGGTATTTAGGTTATGTGGTAATCACTAATAGCAGGTTTGTGCTCAGCCCTGGTGTGGGCAGCTGGGAATCTAATAATTATCGATTCAATGGAGACATCAACAGAAGACTTTAATATCATTCTCTATCTAAACTCATGGCTCAAACACGGGCATCACTTAACTAGTGAGAGCTAGATATTACATCAACAAGTTCTAAGAATGCACAAATGATTTGATGAATTATTTACACTGTGGCTTATACTGCTTGGTAAGCAGTTTTATGGTATATATCTACTTATTTACTTCAATTTTTTACTGTAGTGAAAAACATGTAACATAAATTTACCTTATTTTTAAGCATACAGCTCAGTAATATTAAGTATATTCTAGAACTTCTTCATCTGGCAAAACTGAAACTCTATGCCCATTAAACAATAACTATTTTCTCCCTCCCTCCAGACCCTGGCAAACAGCATTCTATTTTTTGTTTCTGTGAATCTGCCTGCTCTGAGATACCTCATAGAAGTGGAATCACACAGTATTTGTCTTTCTGTGGCTGACTTATTTCACTTAGCATAATGTCCTCAAGGTTCATCCATATTATAGGATGCATTAGAATTTTCTTCCTTTTTCAGGCTGAATAATATTGCTATAGATCATTTTAATTTGGAGAACAAAGAGAAACAATTTTTAAATTTGTGATGTATATATTTATCTTTATTAAGTATTTTGCATATCATTTCTACATATGTCTTTTTTAGATATCTATATATGTATATACTATATGCTATATATATATATATTAAAATGTTTGGTTATATTTCCTAAAAGATACGAATTTTCTTTTATGAAACAAAATGCTACTTTTAAGACAAAAATTTAACATATAATAGGCAGAACTGTCTTTTTTCTAAGTAGACTATCAGGGAACTGAAATTCAGCTCAGTGTCATATTTCATCCTAAGCTGATGTTGTAGTAGAGGACTTATTTGCAGAAAGAAACTCATATGGTCTAAACAGAGCCATGATTCCTGGGATGGAAAGATGATGCAGGTGTCAGTATGAATGGTTCTTCTAAGAAACAACTTTGTGAAAGGAATTACACAGTCAGGATTCTTTTTTTTTTTTTAATTAAGATTTTATTTATTCATGAGAGACACACACAGAGAGAGGCACAGAGACACAGGCAGAAGGAGAAGCAGGCTCCATGCAGGGAAGCCTGATGTGGGACTGTCCTGGGTCTCTGGGATCACACCCTGAGCCAAAAGCAGACGCTCAACCACTGAGCCACCTAGGCATCCCCAAAGTCAGGATACTATTATTTAAACTTTTAAATAGTATTTTTCAAATGGATGATTTTTTTAATGTGACCTTGAGACAAAATTCCATCTATTTTGATGTTTTTGGAGAAGTTAGAAGAAATAGGTATTGGAATGAAGGGATATCTTCCGAAATCAGTTGAAGACTTTCCCTTTTAATTTCCTGCAATGTCCACTGTCCCAAAACTTAATTGGATGGCCAAATAGGTTAGGAAGTACAAATAACAAACGGTAAAAAGTAGTTTGAGGATCAACACTGTGCTTCAAAAAAGCTTCCATGAGCATTTTAAAGATTATAATTAATGTTCAGATAATCATGAACTAGGTAAAATAATATCAGAGTAGCACAGACAAAAAGTAGGTAAGTACTATCATAGTTATGTTCATTTCTTTCCCAAATAGGAAAATTCAGCAGTAATCCTGTATATATATTTTTTGTTTGTTTGTTTTTGTTGTTTTTATCTTTAAAGAAGATCTTAGAGGCCATACTAAGGATTCACTAAGAATTAAGTTATTGTTTGCACCTAAAATTCATTTCTCCTTCCGTATGTCTTTTAGAATCTAACTTGCCCTGTACAACTAGAATAAACAAAAAATGTAGTCTAAAGGTTAACATAACACTTACCTGTCAAGACACCTTAGAATAATAGTAGTCTTTCCCTGGGAATTAAAAAAGAAAGAATACTGTGTTAATGTCATCTACATGTAAAATTTTGTTATTGTTCATAATTGTGGCCAAAAATAGCTTTTAATCACTTGAATGATAAATTACCTGGAAACTAGAAACTTTCAGAATTGTTCCTAAGTTTGATAAGTGGAAAAAGTTAACTGTCAACTTTCCATCACAGTGTAACTACACTGCTATTATTATAATTATAAAGTCCTGCAGATGACAAATACTAGCAAATCATACCTCACTTTAGTGGTCAACTTGGCAGCTGTCTGAAATTTTCTCTCTATTCATCAATGCTAATTACTGGTTAAGCAGATGATTAGTATCTTCTAATATGTTTTAATTCCAATTGTTGAAGTGGAAATAAAGAAGAAAGATAACATACAAATAAAGGACATGCTGCAAATATATTCAAAGTAAGCAATCCAGATACTGGGTTAGAGTATTTTTTGTCATTTTATTTGTAGAAAATGAACTTATTCTAAGTTTCTTATTAGGAGTCAGAAAATATAGGTTCTGGCCATCTCTGCCACTAATCATGAAAGTTAACTTCATATCTTAGGGATTGGCTCAGTGGCTTAATTACTGATTTTTTAAAAAATAGTAAAACTTAAAAAAAAAATCTCTTACAAGAAAACAGATAAAAGAGGAACAGCAGGGGAAGCTCTAATGGAAGAAGCCTTTGGGTTCCAAGGAAAATAGTTTGGAAAATCCTGGACTGACAAAAACACAGAACATTTGACCAGATGTTTTCTCCTCAAAAGTTATAATTTTTTTTTACCAAAAAAAGATGATCACAAATATATTACTCTATATCTGGGATATGATCAAATTGAATTTTTTTTTAGTAATGGGAAACATAATAATTGAAATAGAACCAAAAATGTAAACTATGTTAATTGGCAGGTATTACATCAAAGTGAAAAACTAGAAAAAACCTAAATATCCCCAAATAGGGGACTAAATCAATTATGACAATCCTTAAATGGAATAACATGTAATGATGATATAGGAACATACTAACATGGTAAAACATTAATAATAGATTAGCATAACCCTGTTTTCAATATTCAAAATATCTTTTCCTGCTCTTTGAGATATACATATATACATACACATAAACAGATTCAGAGACAGACACGGAAACACACTCAAATAAACATCCCGGGTATATCACTTAGCTAACAGTGAATGTTTCTAGGTGATGGATTTGCAGGTAATTTATTTTATTTATTTTTTAAAGATTTTATTTATGTGAGAGAAAGAGCATGAGCAGGGGGTCAGGCAGAGGGAGACGCAGATTCTCTGCTGAGCAGGAAGCCCAACTCAGGGCTTGATCATGACCTGAGCTGAAGGCAGATGCTTAAACCCAATGAACCACCCAGGTGCCTGGTAATTTATATATTTTTATTTATTTATTTATTTATGATAGTCACAGAGAGAGAGAGAGAGAGAGAGAGAGAGAGAGAGAGAGGCAGAGACACAGGCAGAGGGAGAAGCAGGCTCCATGCACCGGGAGCCTGACGTGGGATTCGATCCTGGGTCTCCAGGATCGCGCCCTGGGCCAAAGGCAGGCGCTAAACCGCTGCGCCACCCAGGGATCCCGGTAATTTATATTTTTAAAGAAAGATCAGGATTTTCTGATTTTCCTGTACTGAATATGTATCACATGTAGCATATTTTAACATTTTTAAATAAATGAAGACTACAGTAGTCTCTTCTTATCCATGATTTTGCTTTCCACAATTTCAGTTACCCATGGTCAACCATGGTCCGGAAGCAGATGATCCTCATTCTGACATAGTATCATTGGGTCAGTAGTAGCCTAACACTATGTCACAGTGCCCACATCATTTACCTCACTTCATCTCATCACATGGTCATTTTATCATCTCACAGCATCATAAGAAGAGTGAGTACAGTACAGTAAGATATTTTGAGAGAAAGACCACATTCAACTTGTATTATAGTGTTTTGTTATATACTTGTATTACAACATGTATTACATTGTTCACTCAGAGACTATCAAAATGAATCCTATCTTTCAGGTGGCATTGGAAATCCAGTCTTTTTCTCTGACCTGTTATCCTTGGAACTCTAATTCCATAATCCTCTATGCATCCCTTCATCTGGCACAATAAATCCCTTCCCTACTTCCAACATCCTTCCACTCTATAGCGCCAGCTCTATGATTAGCAAACTCCTCAGTGTCCTCAACTTCTTTTTCAGAATGTACACTCCACCTATTGGCCTTACCTAAAATATGGCTGCCTCTGGACTACCTCCTCTACCATCTTGTTAAAGAAGGCTATTCTCTTCTACCACCCCATGTACTTCAGAGATTTCCTTGCTCCCCAATGCACCTTTATTTTTTTTAAGATTTATTTATTTGAGAAGTGCCTGGGTAGCTCAGTTGGTTAAGCATCTGTCTTCAGCTCAGGTCATGGTCCCTGGGTCCTGGGATCAAACCCCACATCAGGCTCCCTGCTTAGTGGGGAGTCTGCTTCTCCCTCTCCAGCTCCCTGATTGTGCGCACGCTCTCTCTCCCCACCCCATAAATAAATAAATAAAATAAATAATAAAATAAAAAATTTTATTTGAGAGAGGGAGGGAGGGATGGAGGGAGCATGAGTGAGTGGGGACAGCGGGGAGAGGGCAGCCTCCAGACTCCCTGCTGAGCACAGAGCGGACACAGGGATCTATCCCACAACCCATGAGATCGCGACTTGAGCTGAAATCAAGAGTTGGATGCCCAAATGACTCAGCCACCCAGGTGCCCCCCAATGCCACCTTTAAACAATTACTTTATTTCCCTCCTTTCGCAAAAGCCTTAGAGGCCTCTACCAGTCTACTGTGATGGCTGTTGTCATCTCTTCTGGCTCAGTCTCCCTTTCTCAGCTATTGTCATTAGTCTTGTTAACTTCATACCCACAGGGCAGCCCAGGTGGCTTGGTGGTTTAGCGCCACCTTCAGCCCAGGGGATGATCATGGAGACCTGGGATCAAGCCCCACATTGGGCTTCCTGCATGGAGCCTGCTTCTTCCTCTGCCAATGTCTTGTCTTCTGCCTCTCTTTTTGTGTCTCTCATGAATAAATAAATAAAATCTTAAAAAAAATAATCTACTTAAAAAAAAAAAACAACTTCATACCCACATATGTGGGCATGGGGAGCAACACATCTAACACTGATCTCTCGGTGCCTTTGCCTCCTCCCAGAGACTCTTTACTTCACTCTATTTCTGCCATATGTCACTTCCAAGGTTACATCTTAAATCATTTCACCACTGGAAACTGCATTACTTCCAAAATCACAAACACAACACATTCTCCAACCATTTCTTGAGGAATCCCCAACAATTCTTTGGCTATAGTAAGAGGTCTTAAAAGTCCGTTGACCCATCAACATTTCTCCTTCTCCACCAGCTCCCTCCTACCTCCACATCTCTCCTTTTCCACCTTACACTCCATAGTTTATCATTACAATCACCCTTGCAAATATCACCCCCCACCAAGCTTTCTCTAGCTTTGTCCTGGATCCACTCGGCAAAACCTAACCCTGGTAAACTCAATTCCCTTCACTTCTCTTCCATGTTTGTACCCAGCAAGTGAGTGATGACAGAGAAAAAGTACACATGCTGTACAGAATGGTGTCACCTAAATTCTTAATCCCCATCTTCAAAACAGCAGTCAGCAATGACAGGAATCCTATTACGTTTGACTAGTATGTTCTCACTCTCATTTGTTGTAACTGCTGTTTCATACATTTTTCTTCTCTCCTCAGAACACCCACTTGACCCTCTTCACCTAAATTACCCTTTTTTTTTAAATTAGCAATGCATAACATTTATTTCCTTGACATCTGTCTTCCAAAGAGTTCACAGTGTTTCAGTGTCAGTTGAAACAGGGGAAGAATCTCAGGGAAGAATCCTTCACATAATAATAGGACTATTGGTAATAATGTCCCTCAGTTCTTTCCAAATCCATAAAGATGCATTTCCTGATGAGTGACTGAGCTGTGAAGAAAGAGATGAGAAACCCTCATCCCTCTGAATTACTTGTGTCAGAATATTTTAACCATAGTACTACGGATAGTAAATTATCCTTATTAACAGGAAATACATCTCAGATTGGAATCTGAGCAATCAGATGGGCAGAGAAAAAACGCTTTGACTTGCTCTTCATCTTTCAAAGACAAAGGAGAGCTTTTCTACGTAAAAAGTCAGTTGTCAAGATAGCCTTAGGGAAGATCTTTCCTCACTTCCTACCCTTAAAACTCTGGACATCACCCTCCCTTAAGAGGCTTTCCCAGTCTTCTAGCCTCTTGGGCTGAGTTAAGAGCCCTTGTTTCCACCATAGCATTTGTCTCATGCTATGTTGTACAAGTACTAGCACCCAAGTTCCCACATAACAAAGAACATTTCTTTCATTTCTGTTTCCCCAGAGTCGGGCAGGATGCCTGGCACATAAAAGATGTTCAATAGATATCTACTGAATGGAAAAACAGAAGTATAGGAAAGAAATAGAGAAGGCAGCAAGGCAGTTTCTTTGGTAAAGGGTGATTACTATTAGCTGAACAGTATGAACAATAGAAGCATTAATTGGTTGCTTCTCTTTATTTTTCAAAATAATATTCTGCATAAAGCATGGAATCAGATACTTTTTTTTTTAATTTTTTTTTTTAATTTATTTCTGATAGAGAGAGAGAGAGAGAGAGAGAGGCAGAGACATAGGCAGAGGGAGAAGCAGGCTCCATGCACCAGGAGCCCGACGTGGGATTCGATCCTGGGTCTCCAGGATCGCGCCCTGGGCCAAAGGCAGGCGCCAAACCGCTGCGCCACCCAGGGGTCCCTGGAATCAGATACTTTTTAAAGAACAATAGCCTCAAAAGTTCTACGTATATCAAGAGAGTTTGCCAATCTTCAAAAGCAAAATTAGTTTTAATTTACATAAATGAAAATAAACAGCTTACATATGCCACAATCTACTT